TCCATATTCATAGACTGCAATACACATAGGTTTTTACTGATCAACTTAAGTTGTATAGCTTCTTTACTAATATAGTTATATAGGGCATAAAAAGGAAAAGAAAAAAGAAAAAAAACAAATAGGCTAATAAAAAGCAAATGCAAGTAAAAGTGCAAGTATGATTAAATAAATGTAGATTTAATATGACAACAGAGTAGAAACAATAAAATGTAAGTGATACATACAATAGGCTACTAACTTGTTTTATAAGAAATACACTCTGAATGTAGCGTGTGACGTGGCCTTTATTTTGAAAGCCACGCCAGGAAGTCGTCCTCATGTTAATGCCGTCCAGCTTGCCGCTCCTGCTGCTAAATTGACGCGCCGTCAGGTCTGGATGTTATTACCGGGAGGAGAGCTTCTGGATTCAGGCTGAGAAACAAGACTGTGGCTCTGCTACAATGACAGCGTCCAAAGACCCGACCAAGAAGAAACCGAAAGAGGCGCAGCAGGATGAGGTAGAGAGAAGTAACTAGACATTTTATTCCAATATATTTCGCTGTGAGGAGATAAATGTGCTCTGCGTGGACAGGCGACAGGCAGCCTAAAGGACAGTGTGAGAAAACTGTGGTTTCTAGATGCGCTCTGTTGGTGCTGCTTCGAATAATACACGATTATTATTATTACAGGGAGATGAAAAAAATAAAAATACAACAAAGTGGAGTAAGGTGAAGGCTGCAACTCACAAGAGTATTTCAGCATATATAACGATTTTCTCTTATCAGTTGTGAACCTTCATGATACATGTAAACATTAATTTCGAGTTGATTTAATGTTATGACATTACTTTAATTTCTTGCTGTATATAAAAATAACAGAATTCAGCTGTGTCAAACAGAAGTGATTATATCTGTGTGTGGATTTGTCACTTTTCACAGTAAGTTTGAGTCAATTTCTCTCAGTACAGTTCCCAGTTTTCCGCATCAAAAGTTGTGATTTCTGTCCTCAGGAAGTCAGATTTTGATCCTTTGCAGAGGCTTTTTCTTTCCTGTCGTGTGTGAGAACTGAAGCTGTGTAATCTCATATTGTGTGATGGGGGGCTAAGATAGGACTCGTTATCTCAAATAGAAGAAGAAGAGGAAGTGCTTGCCCGTGTGTGGTCAATGCAAAGCATTAAAGTGCGACAGGAGAATACTGTATGTTGAGAATTCAACTCGGGCATGACCATAATCACATGGAGCAGGCTTCTGTCAAAGCCTGGTGTGGAAAATGACACTGTAAGTAGCCTATACAGTACCTCATATACGGCTATTGCTACTTGACTGTGTTATACAGTGTCATGTGTTGTTTACCTGTTGTTATGCTTTGATACACTTTGTTGCTTCCGTATTAGTTTGTAAATATTAAATATTGAATTTAGATTTGGTCTGAGAGTTAAGCTTTATGTATTTAATCTGTTTTGCTAGAGAAACCCAAGAAATTACAACCATTTTGAGTTTTATTTTGGCGATGAACTTGGTTCAGAGAGGCAGAAAGTGTCTACTTCCTGTTGTTTGCAGACTTGACTGTTTTCTCTGGGTTGCCAGGTTTGCCAGTTCTTTCTTGTTTTCCATTTGCACCACAGAGCCCAGAGATATTCTGCCAGTTTGGACTCTCTATTTGGTCCCAAAAAGCAGTTTATTTAGAGTTGTTGTAGAAAATGTATTTTTCTGTCTCTCTGGGTATAATTGGTTGGTGCAGATTGATGCAAGGTGTTAGAACAGATACACTCTAATTGATTTTTTTTTGTTCTGGATCCATTGTGTTTCTGTGGACTGTGAGGATGTTCTTTGAAATTTCAGAGAGCAGTTTCAATTGGGTATTTGTCCCATTCATAGTCTGAGTTTGTCAGCCTGTTGAAGTGAAATTGGTTAAATTTGTTTTTATTTTTTTAAGCCAGACCATTGGTAGCCAAGTTAAAAATGCTTGTATTTGTAATTCTAAGTCCTAAACTAAATAAGTAGAGTATAATGTGTTTACTTTGTCTCATTAGAGCCCAGTACATAGACTGTCAATTTTTTTCTTTGTTTTTATCCCTTTGACTCTCTCTCACACTCAAACACACAAACACACGCACAGTCGCAAACACAAACACACACACGCTCGCAAACACAAACACTGACACACACTCGAAGTCCCCGCTTGCTTTACTTTCCACTGAAGTGAGTCGGATCAACAGACTGTTGCAGTGAACTGTGTCTGCTAAAGCCTGCTTCATTCACATACACACACAAACACACACACACACGCACACATGCACACAGATACACAGCAGTAGGTAGAGCATCCCTTGCACACCACTGGGCCATCGACTTCTCTGAGTATTAGTTCAACATCTCTGAGCTAATTCTCTGCATGAGAAGTGTGTATATGTGTGTGTGTATGTGTGTGTGTGTGTGTGTGTGTATATATATGTGTGTATATATATGTGTGTGTGTGTGTGTGTGTGTGTGTGTGTGTGTGTGTGTGTGTGTGTGTGTGTGAGAATCAGTTTTTCCTGCTTCATTAATTAAACAGTTTCCACCTCACCAGTGGTCCATGTGATACAGATTGTTCTGGGCACATTTGTGCCTCTTAGCTTCAGTGTCTGACACATTCATTCAATTCGTTTCATCATAATAATCCTCCAACTACACTGAAGTATATTATATACTATATACTGACTAACATTCTTCAGCAGTCAGTATGTTTGAAACTGAAAGGATTCCAAAAACCATATACTACATTTAATTAAAGTACAGCAGGTATTCTTTTTCTTGACTAACAGTTGTCTCTTTCTGAAATGAATCTCTTGCTACGTTTTCTCCTGGCGTCCACACTACTCCGGAGTCTATGAGCCCTTAAAACAGAGACTTTTGGAAATGCTGCTGGACCAGTGTTAGTTATAAAACGCCAAGGTTACTTTGTAGTCTGGATGGGCAAAAACTTAGACTTTTGGAAGCGATGATGCAGACACCTGCCTCGCCTGATTGGGTCTTATCAGTACTACCAGGGGTCAGTGCAACCAGAGGAAACGCCACCAGTTTGTTTCATCACTTGGAACACAGTCACATCGCTGTAAATGAAGGGTGCTTGGCTCAAAGTGATCGTTCATTAATCGTACTCGAGGTAAAAGTTTGAAATAATAGTGATATTGGATTGAAGTCATATCGCTCAGCTCTACATGTTTGCAGCTCTGAAGTGCAGGTTGGGATCGGGAGGAAAGTCTGAGGACATGTGGTGGGTGGATGGAGAGTGGCGGGACAGGGAGGCGAAAATAAACAGGACTGAGACAGTAGGGATGGTCGGTCCGAACAGAACCCAGAGACGAATCGTGACAGGTAGCTTCAGAGGTCAGAGGTGTCATCACATAAAAATGTTTTTGCTGTCCAAGAGTCTTAAAACAAACTTCAATTTGTTAAAATCTTTGCTGCAGATAAGAGCATCACCTAAAAGGCGCAAAATGTAAAATCAAAACCTCAGATTATCTTTTTGTGTCAAGCCCAAGTGTTTACCTTTCCTGTAATACAAAAAGCTTTACTTTGATGGGGGATAATCACCGCTGTGTAGACAAGATGAGTGTAAGCTGCATCAGCGACTGTCTCCTTTCACTGTCCAGTAATAAGAAGATCCAGACTGCATATTCAAAAATCAATCCATCTGGTAGAAAGATACTAGAGACGAATGCTAACAAGTCTGTATGTGTCATTGGTAGAAAACTTTTCGTTCAGTATATTCAATATTTTACTGCTTCCATCACATAAAAACATACATGCATGTTCAACGAACAATAATGGTAGAAATAATCCATCGTTTTCTGATTTTTTGTTTGAAAATAGTTACTTTATTGTGCCAGAATTCAAGTTTTCCTTTTTTTTAATTTCCTTGTTATTGCTTAAAGGTAAATATGCAACTTTTTTGTATTAAAATGTCGAAAACAAAACATTTTCCACTTCTACTACTTGAAGTGTTGATCACAAAGAAGATATATTTGTGGTTTTAGGAACCAAAATACATCTCAATGTAGTTTTACATCTCCTCTCTCAGGCTTCTCTCTGGAGCTCTGGTAACAACAGGTCAGTGAGCCAATCACCTCGACCCACCATCCAACCTCGCAGGATTTGGTTTCTCTGAGTGGGCGGGGCTTGGGGTATGGCTGAGAGCGATGACTGCTTTGTTGTGACATCGCAAAGTTCCAGAAGTCCTGACGGCTGGTTTTAAGTTTCTGAATACAGGCTGTGTGCATTTCTCTGTGGACTGAGGCTTTGATACTTTCACAGTATTAATATAGAACCTAGAGCTGCTTTATAATCAAACAGCACATGGAAATCTACCTTTATACTATGTGAGACCTTTTAATAATAAAATTTAGAAGCCAAACAAACAGTCAGAACCTGTTAACTCTCAGAGGGTGATCACTTCCTTGTTCAACTAACAATTAAATGCACTAGTGAACAGTAAATAATTAAACTGTAATTTAATTATAGTTGTAGACAGCTGCTGATAGGGAGTGGTTTGATGATAAACACAGCAGCCAAAGTAGATGATTCCTGGTTTTGTGTGAACATGAACAGATGCTGTGTAGCTTTCCATTAGAGTTAGTAGAATAAGACCTCAGGGGAACCGTGAATGTCTGCACACAGTTTCATGGCGTCCTCATACTTTTGCAAATTCGGCTTTGTATTCTCAGTTAAAGGAAATCTTACTGCTGCACACGCAATTATATTTTAGACAACTGTGTTTGTGCCTTACCTGTTTCATGGTTTTCCCAGTTTGGTGTGGAACAACTTGACTGATCTGCACAGAGCCCCTGACCTCAGCCTCACCCGCCACCTTCATGAAGGTGGACCTCATCACCCAACATCAGTGCCGGACCTCATTAACGCCCTTGTGGCTGAATGGGAGCAAAATCCCACAGCCTCAAATCAGTGGAGTGGCGGCTGTTATCGCGGCGTGATTTTGGAATTACGGCACTGATTGTTTGTTTTTCTGTGTGTCTGCAGGAGTTTGTGGACGTCAGCCCGCCGCAGAGGAACTGGAAGGGCATCGCCATCTCTCTGCTGGTTATCGTGGTGGTCTGCTCCCTCATCACCATGTCTGTGGTCGTCCTCACACCCTGTACGTCAGTTGTTAAGAGGCATGATGAAAGATTATGAAAATATCACTAAATAAAGTCATAAAAAAAATTTGAATTTCATGTAAAAGAAGGAATCTTTTTTTTTTTTTTGACACTAGTAATTGATCGATTGATAGATTAAATACACAGATAAATTTGAATAAAATGTTTTAGCTATTTCACACCTCAGGACCTTTGTAAACTATGAAAACCTTCCTGTTTGGTCCGCCTGCATAAAATCACAGCAAAATAGGTAGAAACAGTTTTACATTTAGCTGCTTTATTATGCTTTATATATAATTCATGGTTAATGTTTAATCCCATTTTCATAATCTGCTGAAATATATACATTAAAAGCCGCTCTGCGTTGCATGTGAACATTTATGACAGCGACGCATGCTGCAGTGAAATCTCTAGAGAGATATACTACTCCAGTGTGTGTCTGTGTTTGTGTATTGGTTATATGTGCGTCCATGCACAAGTAAACAGATGACTGTTTCTACACACTGCATCTCTTTACCAGTGATTTTCCCTGCCTCTCCCCTCCCATTCGTTTGAGTTTAATCAGAAAATCTTAAGATGTCTCTTCAGGCAGGTTTTGACGCAGCGCTTGCTTTCGACCGTCTCTTTGCTTTTGCCCTTTGTTCTACAGAGATAAATCTGTGAAAATAAAGTGGATTTGATTGTGTCTTTTCCCAGTGGAGGTCCCCGGCAGCAGCAAATCCAGGCTGACTGTGGCAGATCTGTATAAACCAGAGTTCAGCATTCATGACCCTGAGGCCACGTGGATCAGCGGTGAGTTGTACATCAGCAAAAAATCACGCATCGATGAAAAGAATAGAAGGATGGGAATGACAAATCTCAGATACTTGTGGTGGAATCGTTGACACTCTGAATTGCGAGTCCTTTTTGTTTCACTCAGCACCATCAGACCTGTATTTATCAACTCCGTACAAGGAATTATTGTTATACACATCTGGGGAGTACTGACGAAATGTAATATTAATGTTAAAAGATTCATACAGAAGGCCTTATTGTTCCCACTGGTTTGATCGTGAAGAGGGTATTAAATTGTGTTATTAAAAAAGTTTTTTAAAAGTCTTGGTGAACGCTGCAGAGAACTTAAGCAAAGAGAGAGATGGATGGTTTTTCTGGTGCCGCCTTGTCTTTTAGCCTTGATGCATTCTGTTTTTTTTGGCCATTGTGGGTGGAAAAACTGGTGTCTGTGTGTGCCTCCTTCATGATGGATGTCTTCCAGTGTGTGGAATATTTGTGCGAAGAGACAGGAAGAAAATGAGACACTAAAACTCACCATTATTGTGTGGTGAAACTGCTGGAAATGAAGCAGTTTTTGATTTGTTTTTTAATGTTAAAAGAAAATCATTAGACTCTGAAACTCCTCTGCTGTATTATTCCATGTCTGCATAGAAAGAGATGTGGAAGAGAAGTCGATGTAGCTCAGGAAGTCAATCGGGAGGTAAGGACAATGTGCGAAGACGGTATAACACAGGAGAACAAAACAAGCGCGACCTTGAGTGGAAAGTAGGGAGGTGACGTTCGGTTTGAGGAACAGTATGTCGGTTCCAGAAGGTGGATAAGATGCAGTTTCTCGGACTGAAATTCATTTGCTCTTTTGTCAGGTGTTGTTTGGTTTGGACGGAACAGCTGGTCGTGTCGGCTGCTTCTTGTCGCCGACTGAAATTCAAAATAGTTTCAGATTCGACAGCTGGTTTGAATGCAGCGTGTTTTAACACTTTTATCTTGTCTTTTCACTGAGAACAACGACGCTTGTCAAGGTTAATTTTTTGCTCCGAGCTTGATGCCTTGAATTTCTGTGGAGGCTGAAAATCAGGTCTGTAAATTGGCAAAAAAAAATTCAACTGATTGGAGTGTTTCTTTCAGTGTGTATCTCTTGTTGATTTCTATATTTGGAGTGTTGTTTGTGTCCACCTGATGAATCTAGTATCCAGTGTTCCCTCTCTTTTCAATTCTGTTTTTTGGTCTCCACCAAATAAATTAAATTGAATCAGATTAAATCATATTGTAAAAGTATAAACAATAAATAAAAGAAACAATTGACTAAACACAAAAAACATCTGAAAATGTTCAGTTCAATTATAAATAAAATAAAATGGAATAAAAAAATTAAAAATGAAATTAAATTGTTTTGTAAAATTAGGTAAACATTAAATGAAAAAGATAAAAATGAAATTAAAATAAATTTAGTTTAAAAAAAAAAAAGTTTTTGTCTTCATTTATGTACCATACACAATTTATTCATGTGATTATGTATTTGATAATATAATTAACGCTTTGAGCTTCCATATTGGATTTCCTCTAACTTTTCTCAGACTTAAGAACTCTTTTTTCTGCTAAAATGATTTGTGAATTACTCTTAAACTAAAAAACTGACACACCCATTATATCATCTCTGTTTATGAACTCAGCCCCTCATTTTTTGTTTCTCTTTTAGTGCGTAAACACATGAGCTAATTGAAGCGACCCCTGCCGAACCTGCATATCCAAACACAGATGGCCTCACAGTGTCATGTTGAATCAACAGCAAGACAGCCCACAGTGACTCAGGGTCAAATATCCTCCCACCCTGTGATAAACCAGATTCAAGCAATATAATAATATTACTACACTGCTTTGTGACCAGTTATTAGCAAATTAGCAAAGAAAGAAAAACATATGGATCATTCACAGTGATCAAAATAATAAAAGTACCTGGAGAAACCTTTTCTTAAGCGTACCCATCCCACAGCTTAATGCAATTGTCAGTAAATAAAAAAGTGAATTTAATGCTTCAAGTTGCTCTGGTAACGGTCAAGAGCTACAAGTTAGACATGCACCCGTCATATCGGCTAGAGGGGCAGCAGGTCTCCGGAAAGTACCGCAGCCACATCCACTCCACACTGGAGTCCCAGTCTGGCTGTTAGAGGTCGTCTTTATAGCAGCTGTATCTCAGGTGGTGGAGGGGTCGGCCATTACTTGTAGGGTTTTGTCAGCGTGTCCTTGAGCAGGACACTGAACCCCTAGTTTTCTCCTTGCTGTATGTGTGTCACCCGTGGCCAAAAGTGCAGTGAAATTCAGTAAGTTCACATCGATCCCCACCATATTTGTTCCCATCGTATTCCTCCTCTTGAGTTCACTGACCTTTCTCCTCCCCAGTCTTTGCTCCAGGTCACATTGCCAACACCTCCTCATTACATTTCCTTCCCATGTTACATAAGAGGCACGCTGCTGGAGGTGTTACAGCCCAACCTTGATCTGTGGCCGAGCATCGTTCCTCCACATCGTGCCGCACACGCTCTCGCTCGTGTTCAAGCCCAAATGTGGAGAATCGGAAATGTCCGTGTTGTTTAACTGCTTCCTTGACAGCGTGACAGATTGTGTTTGCATCCGAGGAAGGAAGAGAGAGAAAGTAAATAGCAGCCATAGCCTGAAGAGCTGAACGGGAAAAGAAAAAAAGACAATCACAGTGTTTTGCTGACAGCAAGACAGCTAAATTATTGTTTCAATGGTAAATTTAGGAGCAGAGATGACTAAATATCTCCATAACACCTTTCTGGAGACTTGCTGGGAGTGACAGAAGGTATGATAGGAGGGAAGAGAGACACAAGGACAGAAGTGGAGGGAGAGGGAGACAGTGAGAGATAGCTTTGCTGCTCTGGATATGAGGCAGAGATCCACTGCCTGCTGTGTCCTTCCCTTCCACAGGGAGATAATACTAATGACTAGTCCTGTGGCCTGTGGCTTCTCATTATGGGCTCTGGTTGGGGTGGCCTCTAACACACACACACACACACACACACACACAGATATATGTATGTGTTTATGAGGACCATATTTCACTGCCTCAAAGTGGGGGCACACATTTGATGTGAACACGATTCATGACTGATCAGACCAAATCTGCCTCAGTTCTAGCAGCTGGGGTCGACGATCAGCAAATAAAGCTATACAGTGTGTGGTGTTTAAAGCTGCTATTATCAGTATTGTTGTATAACATATATGCTATGATCACATGATTATTTGTATATGAAAGGCGCGACTCGAAGTCATGAGTACACAAAGGATTCTGTAGTTCCCCTCGTCTTTACTGAGCTTTTTAGCATCTTTAAGCTCATCGTTTTGGTTTTCCAGCCCTCGCCAGTCCCATCAACCTCGTTTTAAGCAGACAGCTGTGTTCAGAGAAAACGCTTTCACCGTCTTCTACAACTAACAGATGAGCATTTAGCAGCCAAAGAGCCAGATATTTTGTTTTGTGCCCTCTTCTCCGAATGGCGATTTTGCACCACTAATTGTTTATCTTGAGGCAGAACAGCAGTGGATGATGCATTACTTTTGCACTTTATTTATCAGGTTTTCTGGAAAGTTAGTTTCAACTTGCTCTTGGTCAAGTGCTCGAAAAAATCATTAATTGTAGGTTTAACGACTCTAAAACTTTGTCTTGTGATCTCCCAGAGCTCATGAAATTTATTACACAAAAAAAAGTTGAAAATACAATCCCACCAGGTGGTAGGAAATCTACAAGGGATAAAGTCATTATCTTTTATGACAGAGAAACGTCTCATCTGTTAAAATAATCCAAAATGTAAAAAAAAAAAAAGTGTCTGTGTTTTTATCACTGGAGGCAGGTGTTCAGGAGTTGTGGCCATGGCTGGAGAAAAGGAAAAAGGTGCTGTTAGTTTCTGAGAATTGTGCTATGCTTTCGAGATCAGTCAGGTCAGATTGAAAAGTCATGACATGATTAACTGTAACGTTGAAGAATCACAGGTAGCTGTTAGCTCAGGTGTGACAGCGGCTGCATTACATCACCTTGGAGAGTGAGAGGTGAGTTTTTTAGCACCACCGTATTGAATTTTTCATCCCAACAGGGGTCAGCCGTCCCATTAGCTGCTTTGTTGAGATTGATGACGAAGGTGGGAAATTACCGTCTGACGTTTTGTGTGGCGTAAATCTAATGTGGCCTGTGTGTGATGAGAGCTGCAGGTCTGGGCCTGAGTTTACTGCTGGGCCTCCTGCTGGTGTAGTAGGTGTAATTCAAACATGTCTGTAATGGAAATTGCTTCCTTGACAGCTCCCCCAACTCATTTCCTCTTCTCTCCTCTAACATCCAAGTCAGGCTTCAATATCTGCTCACCATCATTTAATAGCACGAGGGACACTTACATCAGATCTCTTATTAGAGCACTTCAGGAAACAGCAGACTGTTGATAAATTGAATGAAACAAAGGAAGAGGCAGTGAAATTCATGATGAGCCTCTCATGCCCTCAGGATGCCAAAAGAAAATCACGTCCAGACACTTTAAAAAAAAATAATATTAAAAAAATGAAGATGTGTGATTGCAGCTCCTTGAGTTCAGCAGCTGCTGAACAAGAGCTGGGTATCATCTAGATAATAAATCATCTCAGCCCCATCAGAAAACCAGAGCAAAACAATCAAACACATCAGCGCTCAAATCTGTTTCCTGACCGCACACGGCACGTTCCTCCAGCGCAAACACCCACAGAGGATGAATGCAAATAAATAATGTCGTAAAGATCACATCCTGCTGTCTGAGATAGATTAGATCCGGAGTATTGGGAGTATAAAGTATGATATAACCACAGTTTTAGAGCATGTGCAACACAAACATTCATTATTTGACGCCAACGCTCGCAGCACGTTAACATGGGAATATTTCCCATCTCTACCAACCAGCATCATGTGACGTGAACACAGCATGGTGAGGTCATAAAATCAATCGTCAAAGTGCTGATCATAAAGTTTTGGACTCACAGTATGATGATGATGCAGAATGTCTTGTAGCAGAATTTAATTTCCAATTCAGCCAACTTCCTTTTATTTCATCCTGATTTATATATTTATACATTATAAATATTTTAGATTGTTGTCAATTATTCACAGAGATTTTAAGATTTCACACAAATGAATGAGCTTTTTTTTTTATAATTCTACATGTTCTGGCAGATTAACACACCACTGAATAAACTGCAAGGAAGAATCTGCAATATGCCAGGTGTAGGATTGGTTATTCCTCCTCCGATCAATCATGTGATCATCAGTTGTGAGTTTTCCACGTGGCTGTAAAGAGGAGGAGGCCCAGATTATGGCTGAAGGGTGGACATTTTTTTCTTTTTTTTTTTATCACTTGAATCATCTTGTGACCTCCTCAGATCTTTGTGGTTTTGTTTTGTTCTGCTGAGACTGTAATTTGCTGCTTTTTATATTTATTCTTTAAAGAGGACACAACACAAAACGAAGCGAAAGATAAGAAAATGTCAAAGTGGAAGGCTGATAGTTACAGCAGAGAAACACCACAGATATAAACATGTTCTGCAGCAGAGAAGAACTTCAAAATAATCAAGAAAACAGATAAATAGTGTGTGTCACACTATAGAGTCTCTGCAGGCTTTGGTGGAGAGCTGTGTAAAAGCAGCTCTGTCAGTACTCCACACTGCTCCCCCTGCTTATAAATGATTTTCTTGCATCATCATCATCCTCATTATGGATGCCACACTGATTCTTTTCATATAATTGCCTTTAGGTGGAGATGGTTTCACTGCTTATATCCAATTTGACATTCCTATATGGGTGTATTTATAGGGGCACCATTGAACTGTATGCAAGTGAATTATTCATGGAGTCGTTTATATTGTGTGTTCATAATGTATGGGTAACGTAATGTAGAGCTTGTTTACATCACGTTAGTTAACCCAAAGGAAGAAGAAAAAAACCAGGTATTTATATAAGAGAGGGAGAGAGCCAGTGTGTGTGTGTGTGTGTGTGTGTGTGTGTGTGTGTGTGTGTGTGTGTGTGTGTGTGTGTGTGTGTATAAACAACAGGCTGCATCTCTAGCAGTGACCCATATGAATAAACCAAACTGAATGATGCATTATTTATCATGATATAATGTACAACAAGTAAATCATGTGGAGACAGGAAAAATACACAACATGGCCAAAAGTATTTGGATGCACGAGAAAACATCTATATGTATTAGTGAGGTCGACCACAGATGCCAGGTGATTGGGCATTGTCATATTTCATTTTATGTGCCTCTAAGAGATTTCTCATTATTGGAACTAAACACCAACATAAACCATGAAATACAGAGAGGGGAGTCCACATACTTTTGGCCATTACTTTTATGTAAAGCTGCCTCACAAAATATTATATAGCAAGATCAGTTTTTGGTGCATGACACACTTTGTGATGTCAACGTTTTCCATTTTTCTGTTGAATTTGATTGAAAAATGAAAATGAACTAACGAGGAATTTAAGAAGTGACAATAGAGCTTAAAAATATTCTGTCTCTTCTGCAATCAAAATTCTTACTTGCGTTCCTCCTTGCGTTACTGCACACTGACATATCTTAACAAATGTTGTGACTTATTATGGAATTTATTCATGCAGAATTTAAAGCTACATGTACGAGAAACTTGCTAATGGAAATAACTTTTGGTTTTTAAGTCACTAGCAGGTAACCATCCCAAAATCCAGAATAGTTTCAATCTAAATCAATCAATCTAAATAATCTAAACAGTTAAAACTATTGATCTTAGAGCTGCTTGAAAGTTTTGAGACTTGAGCATTGAGAACTGTTCAAAAATTAACAGTCTGTTGCAGCTTTTCACACTTCCCTTGAGCAATAAAAAACATCCCCTCAATTTGTGAAGCAGCACTCACTTTAGAAAATGTTCCGACTGAATTTGAGTCTTTTTTTAATTTTTTTAATTTGATGCACTCTCCACACGAACCTCACCATCAGCCTCTGACGACGACATGAATCCATGTTTCCCTTTTTTTCTGCATCTTTATTAAAGCACATTCAGGCTGAGGGCTGCCTCTCCTCGTGCAGTGGTGAGTGATTGCCTTCCCCTGCAATCAGCCACAAATTCTCTCCAAATGAGTGCCAGGAGTTCATCAGGGGGGATGAGGGAGCGCAGGCACAGCTGGTTCAGTTTGACGAGGATGGATAGAAAAACTGAAACAAGGGAGGCTATTTATTTTTTACAACTAATTTTCTGCTCTTGCATATCTAGCTTTGCTTCTTGTGCAACATATATACTTAAGTAAAAGAGCAAGAAAACGACACGACTAAGGCGACTTTTGCAGCATAATCTACTCTAAACAATCCCTACATAGAATGAAGAAGACTAAATGTCATCATGGTGTCATTCGATTTCATGATTTCCTAGAGAATGTCTGAGGCAGCGGCTCTTTGTAGTTTCTGCAGGAGACGTTGCTTTTTGTTTGAAACCGCCACAATATCTGCTGCAAGATTTCTCATCTCACACGTAAGGTGAATTGATGCGACAGCAGCAGGTCTGGAAGGTGCAGCGACGACTGAGGTGTGATAAGAGAGATCCAGGACAAGTGTGAGTGTAAGTGTGTGTGGCTATGTACAAGCTAGAATGGCTATTTGTCTGAATTACAAATGTTCCCCGTGGATAGGCGGCCGGGTTCAGAGTGACGACTCTGGGTGACACCCAGAGAAATAACATTCATTATCATAATCTGCCCTCTCCTCCTGATTGGTGTCATTTTACTCTTCTTCTGTGTTTCATTTGAAGTGCTGACCCATAAGAAGATATATTTGTGGTTTTAAGAACCAAAAACCATCTCAATGTAGTTTTACATCTCCTCTCTCAGGCTTCTCTCTGGAGCCAATCAGAAGTAGAGGAGGCTCTGAGGCTCTCCTCTGATTGGCTGATGGTTTTCTGAGTGATCGAATAAAAATAAAGCGGATTTCAGGTAAAACACTCAGAGAAACCAGGTGAGCGGGGCTCTGGGCATAGCTAAGAATGGTGACTGCTTTGTTGTCACATCACAAAGTTCCAGAAGTCCTGACAGCTGGTTTTAAGGCTTAGTTTCTGAATACAGGCTGTGTGCAATTCTCTGTGGACTGAGGCTTTGATACTCTCACAGTATTAATACAGAACCTAGAGCTGCTTTATAATCAAACAGCACATGGACATCTACTTTTATACTTTATGGACTTTTCATATTCACATTGAGACAATCAATCCCTTATTGTTAATGTTTTGTAGACACGTTTCTCGTTCCTGTTGCACATGTTAATCGTTGCTGTACGACATTTTCAGTCAATTAGACACATTGAATAAATGTTGCTAAAGTATCGGCCAATTGTCAATCATGTGTTGCTGTATTTGGCCTTTCACCGCTGGTAATGACCGGTTCCGTCGAGGCGAAGGCCGCTCACGCAGGTGTTCCTGTTTACTCCACCTAATTAGACCACACCGGCCCACATAAATCACAGCACGAGAAGTCGACACGTTTCCTCTCAGGAGGCCGCCATCAGACCGCCGCCTTCTGTCTGTCTATTGTGGAGCAGTTTACCCTCCGACGGAGAGCAGGATGATGCTGCAGCAACACTAATATTCAGAACAGCGTGGATTCTCCCTTGTTCCACTTCATTACTTTGAGGGTCAGCGCTGTCAGAACAGTTTGCACTCGGTCACTGGCACAAATTTACATGTCAAAACCCACAGGAAGTTGAACTCTAAATGAAAGCGCTGTGCAATCGCGCTTTTCACCTCTGCAGGCTGATCTGCACATTGCAGCAATTCCAATGAAACTAATTGATTTCATTCTTGACATTTTGAGGCCATGAATGCTTCCTTGATCACATCCTTACATCTTCACACGGACTTTCCAATTCCCACAATGTATTCAACAGTATCCTCAATTATTTCCCAAGATTTGTATTTGTATGATACAGATTTGATCCTATGGGGGATAAAGAAATTGTCAATTTTTTTTGGCCAAATTTAGCCATTTAATATGAATTTTACCTTGAAAAATAAACTAAAAGTCGGACACGTCGAAGCTTTACAGAAACATAACATCTTACCACTTGGATGTTAAAGTATTTGAAGGTAACCACAGTAACTTTCAAAGTGTATAACATGAACACAGCAGTTAAAATATCTTTCTACAATATCATCTGATGCATTTCTAACAGACATTTTGCACATCTTTACCTCTCACAGCAGGAAAAGCACAGGTGACATTTAGGTGTTAACTCTCCATACTCGTCATGAGAAGCCGGCAGGTCCGTACTCTTCATTCCTATATACAGTAACTTGACCTTTGCCGTTATTGTGTGAGATCACATTTTAACACCTTGTGGTTCACTTCAGTGGCTCTTCACGCGCAGCACAGTGACTATCACAGGAGCAGCTGGCTCTTTTTACCCTCTGCTAATCATCTTTTTGTGTCTTCCTCTCTCAGATTCAGAGGTGGTTTACAGGAACCGAGACGGCCACGTCATCAAGTTCAACTTCGCCTTGAATGAGACGGAAGTCATCCTGAGCAACAACACTTTTGTAAGTTTGTGAAGGTTTCCACACAGGCTTGAACAGCCACTTCACTACATAAAACATGATAATATACATAAGACATATAATATAAATAAGTAAAACATAAAGTGAAACCTTCTCTTGTAGCACAAGGCTCATATGCATCGATATGATCTGACGCTGCTGTAAAAACTGATCAATACTGACAACTTCCTCTTTGATTATTGGTCTTTTAGCTCAAAAACATGACTCCATAACTGTGTGCGCACATTAAAAAACAAATTCAGGAAATCCATAAAAGACAAAAGAGTTACAGGGGTAGCAGACTGTATGAAGGACGGGGCCTCCCGACTGTGCTGCCGGCCAGTCCTCCACAGTAATCCATAACAAAGAGACAGAGCCGCCCTCCTCGTCTCGCTGCTGTGGCTCCATCCCCAGAGTCTGCACGAATCAAATAATCATGTCAGAGCCACCGGTGGCAGCTCGTCACTGTGTTACCTGCAGAATCAGAAAATGATAATATCCAGCTCAGAAGGGGGGGGGCAGGGGGTCCGTGCGCTCAGCTGCCTTCACTGTGGGTGGAGGTTTGAGGTGGCCACATTAGCCCACCCCTGCTAAACCCGCCTGGAGGAGAGCGCTCTGGTGCTTGTGAAATATCATCTTACTGTCCAACTCTGGCTCTGTCAAATGAATGTTTACCCACGTTATTGCTTCCAGGAATATGAAATTATATCATCTGATTATCCTTTAAATGCCTTTTCAGCGAAATCCACCCAGCAATGCCAAATGTGATCAAAAGCGGGCCAGATTTAGCTGTTTTCTAATTGTATTATTATAATCCTGTTGTAACCTGCTGCTACATAACACACACATAACATAAACCCTTTACTCTCTCTCTCTCTCTCTCTCTCTCACCTTCTCTGTAAAGCACCTTTTCTGGCTCTTTTCCTGCCTTTCTTCTCGTCATTTTGCAGGATCTTTTTTGCAGAGCTGTTTCGTGGCTCGTGGTTTTAGTGGTTGCATAAGGGGATTCGGTGAGGATTTGGACTCTCTGAGCAAAATCAAAAGAGGCAGAGGTGGCCTCGGAGTTAGGAAGCCCCTCTTCTGAAAATTGCAAAAAAAAAAAAAAAAGAGCCGCTGCAGCGTCTAAACTGAACTCTCTCACTGCCTAGAGACAATTTCAGGCACTAAAAGACAGCAGAATCGCAAAATTGACCATGGTTTGAAAAAGAGGACATGATTTTTAAGGTTTAAGGTTAAGTGACTACGGACATTTTTGAAATATCTATGAAATATCTGACTGCTACCGCGTCCTCTCCCAGACACATCAACACCTCTGTGGCTCCCTGGTGGTTTTATGGCCTTTAGTTGCTAGATTAGTTTTTGCCTGCTGCATTTTTTTTTTTTGTTTTTGTCATGGGATGAAAGTAAGAAATAACGGAATGACAGAAAAAAAAAAAAAATGCAATCACAACCTGTCAGATATAAATCATTTCCCTCTAAGGTTTACTCTTTTGGTTTCCTCCTGTTTTTCTTCTCTTCTGCTCAAGAAGTATTTTTTGCTTCATTGTTGTTTCGTTTCCATTCTCCATTTTTGGCTTTTAGCTTCAAATAAAACCTTGAATCTTTAATCTTTATGTCTGAAAATAGCCTAATAATGATTACATCTAATTAGCTGTTGAATATTTACCATTGTGTGTTGATTCATTTGCTTCTTCTTCTAGAGTTTCAAGTCAGTTTCTGAGCCCCAAAGTGTTGCATTTGTTTTCTTATGTGTAACTGTGAGCGCTGCAGTTCATTGTGGTGTGGAAAGTCCTGTGTTGATTGTAAAACTCTGCAGTGCTTTAGCTCTTTTCTTTTTCTTTTTGTGTTAGGTGGCTTTCAAGGTGGCAAAGTACTCTCTCTCTGCAGATCTGAAGTATGCGCTCTTCGCTTACGATGTCAAACAGGTACGTTTCGAATTAAAATGCCTCTTCAGCTCGACACAATAAATCACAATCACGTGAAATTTATTTGATTTGCCTCCTCACGACCTCACGAGCTGCGACTGGAGCTGCAGATCACCCTCAACATCACCAGCTCTTCTTCTCTCCTCTCTCTTGTTTACTTCCTGGCAGGCTGTCATTTACATTGCAATACCCAAAGGTGCTGTCACTCACTCATCTGAATGCACACACACACACACACACACACACACCTGTTCTTCAGGTTTACGATTTGTGCTTGATTTTATTTTTTGCTCCTTTGTTCTCTGAAGGGAACTTTGCTACTTTGTGAGTCTTCAGATTAAACTCTTGACACTCAGTTTCTCTCTGAAAACAAATTGCATCACCTGCTCTGAACAGAGGTGAATTCATCTGTTGTGTTTCTGTTTTGTTAACCTTTATTATGTGTGGTTTGTTTGGGCTTCTTGTGCATTTTCACTCTGTGTATCCTTGTGTTTCTCAGTATACAGTGCATTTTTCTGCGCATAAACATTCAGTCAAGGCTTTCTTCTCTCCTCACAGTCAAGGTTTTTCCATTGATTTTTAGATTTGTTTCCAAACAGATGGATCCTGGCTCGGGTTTGGAAACACTGCAGCAGCTGAGAAACCAGAGGAGGACATCTATGTGTCCTGTTGTGTATCCCTGTAACGATTGCCAGGTCAAAACCACCTCTTAGTGGGATTTGTGCACCTTTAAAAACACCCCTCTGTATATATATAGAAACATTTGTTCTTAGCATTTTCTGAACATTTCACTCCACTTCTGCAGAGAGAGGGTGCACTTTAAGGCTTAATTGATTGCACTCCAGTTTTAATCGTTGCTAGGGCAACGTGAAATCCCCCCGAGGTAGCATCACATGCTGTGAGTTTTAGCGGCTCTCAATTGAATTTCTTTCAGTTAGTGCGCCGCCGTGTGTGAAGGGATATCAGCTGTGCAGGATGCACATAGCACAGTTCACCTGGGCAGTGGGGGAAACAAGCTGAAGCAATAGATCAAGTTTCTGGAAATTTAGGCCAAAAACCAGATTTTTAAGTTCAAGTGAAGAAATCTGAAAGTTTCTACAAATACATAACAAAATGAAGCACAGCAAATCTGAAGGGACGGTGCAGCCATAAAAAATAGTCCTTGGTTTGAATATTTTGTTCAATGTATAGATCATATAACTTTCATGGAGGGCTGGAACAGGCTGATAAAGAATATATATAGTTAAGCCCCCCAAATTATTCATACCCCTTCAATTTTTTCACATTTTGTTGTGTTGCAGTCTTGTGTGTGTAAAATGAAATAAAATAAAAAAATCTCTAATCAAGGTGTATAAAACATCTCAGAGATGATCGAGGGAAATGGGAGGAACCTGAGCTAAATTTAAAGTATCATAGTAAAGTGTCTGAATACTTATGTCAATGTGATATTTCAGTTTTTCCTATTTGATAAATTTGCAAAAAATTCTAAAATTCAGTTTTTACTTTGTCATTATGGGATGTTGAATGTGGATTTATGAGCAAAAAAGATTTTGTTTTATTTTGGCACACGGATGCAACATAATAAAATGTGAAAAAACTGAAGGGGAATGCATAATAATCTGGGATTTATATGTATGACACTGTCAGAGTGGATTAAGATGACTTTTCTAACTTTGAAACTTTTTTGGTGGGAATAAAATGAGATTTTCAGATTTAGAGTCATTATCTTTTATAAAGGAAATCCTCTTTCACACAACCATCAGCCGACATGGATTCAGAGCAGAGAAATTGCATTAATCCCCAAAAAGCAGGAGTATGGAGACAATTGAACATCAGGTTTATCATAAAACGTATATAAACGAATTCACATACAAACCCTGTTGTTTGATTTCTCTTTCTCCAAGTTCTTCAGCTTTATGAAAGTTTAATGCAAACGACTGGAGTGCTGTCATAAGTCAACACAAACTTATTTTTGACATTTAGACCTGAAACACAAACTTAGTTTTCAAAAACACAAATATGATTTAAGTGCCAACGTTATGCAAATTCACTACATATCCTGATGTTTGTGAGAAATTATTGTGACACAGCAATTAGACCGCACCGCTTACTAATATGATTTCTATCAGCAGCTTTGCAGACTCAGGCTTCTGTCTTTATTTTATACTTACGTGTAGAAACTGTTGGTTGCTCTCTGTGCGTTTCCATTTCCTTTATCTGTCTTTGTCACTTTCCTGCTGTTGTTAGTTATTAGCTGCTCCAGCGACTTTGTTTCCTCGCGTGGATCTCTGCCGTTTGCGAGGCTGGTGTCAGACATGGATCAATATTTGCAGTATGTGATGTGTGTTTTCATTCTCGTTGCAGATGTACAGATATTCATACACGGCCTCCTACATCGTCTACAACATCTACACGAGGTGAGCGGCCTTACCTTTACCGCCTGTTTCTCCATTCACGTTTTTGAATGCTCTCTGATGCATGCACACAGATGGTGGGTGTTGATATATATATGTGTGTGTGTGTGTTTTTATCAGGGAGGTTTGGGAGCTAAACCCCCCTGAGGTTCAGAACGCAGTCCTCCAACACGCAGCGTGGGGAAGACAAGGACAGCAGCTGGTAAGACTGAGTGTATTTATGTGTGTGTGTATTTATGTGATCTCTCTCTCTCCCTCTCTCTCTCTCTCTCCCTCTCCTCACTTGTGTTTTTATAAATTCAAGCTGCTTCGTCTCAACACAGGGATCTGGTCCAGCCACGGTCTGCTGCTGTGATGTGATAGTTCTTGCAGTATAGAGTCTGTTTACATCCACACTGTGCCTGTTTGTCTCTGTTAGCCCGTCTCCTCAGCCACTGACCTAATTCCAACTGTGATTTTTACATTGCATTACACTCAGGGTTCCTCCTCCTGCAGCGGACCTGTTAGTGTGTGTGACATTTTATTTTGCAGGTTCTTTTCTTAAGAATTTCAGGATGTGACTCCACAGAAAGAAAATGTCGAAAATATGGAAAGAAAATATGAAGAATAAGCTTCGGTTGAACTAGACATATTGTTCTTTAAATCTTGAACATAACGAGCGGGTACCTAATATACGGAGCAATGAGGGAAGTTTCCAGGAAATTAGCCAGAAAATATGGGAAGAATTGACCAAGAACACTGAAGGATGGGTGGTGATAGGTGATGATGCGACTCAACATCCTCCTTAATGAAGGTGAATCGGTGCACAAGAAGATTTGTATTAGTGTTTACAGTGAGTCCCACTTGTCCTCCCAGTGTCCGGACCCCCCCCCACACACACACACACACACAATGAGCTACAACGTTCATCAAACTGAACTGATACGTGTTTTATTTGCAGTCTCCAGCATGTGCATGACACGTGCGTCGGCTCACAACCGCACGACAGCGCTGACCCCAACATAGGATGTGAAATTCAAAACGGCTGCTGCTGTGTGGCGACGTGCTGTCGAGAAGAGAGGAGAAAATGAAATATGAATTCAGGTGGACTCAGGTGGATTGGTTAACATGCTGGACGTGTCGCCGGCCTGATCCTGTTTGATTTTGCATATGCAAATGTTAAAACAGTGATGGAAGGGAGAGAACAAACACACTCGTTTGCTGCACTATGAGATAAACCAGAGGGTTTAATATGAGAAAGTAAAAGAGAGAAACTCCGTTTTGCAGCAGAAATTGAAAGACGAGGAGAGAAACAGCAGAAAGGCAAAAGTCAAATGGAAAGAAATTCATTTTCTGATGGAGAACACAGGATTATTATGCATGTGTGCAAGTTTGGAATCAATACCTTCATCCTCTCTTCTTCCTCCTCAGATCTACATCTTTGAGAATAACATCTACTACCAGGCAGACGTGAGGAGCATCTCCCTGAGAATCACCTCCTCTGGGATGGAGGGAGTCATCTTCAACGGGCTCCCTGACTGGTTGTATGAAGGTGCGTGCCGGCAGAAGCTAATAAAAATGAAAAAAAAAACATATTTTATTCCTGCCTGATGTGGAAAAGTTGGTGCATGTTTCCCACATCATCTTGTTGCACCCTCTTCTTCTGCAACGCTTTAACGGCGCCTGACTGGAGAATCGGCGCCACCAGCTGTTTATCATGCACTAATTTGCTTCTTTTTTTTTTTGCAGAATTTGGTTTAAATTTGCTTGACATTTGTTTGGGATCCAGCTATTGGTAACATGTTCGCATTCTGACACATTTAGTCAATGCACCGATGAGCTGCTAGTGTTTGAAGACTGATTATCACATGTTTACGTACAGTACTTGAATAATTAAGCAGGAGTTTGGATTCGTGACCATATTTCTTAAGTCCTGGCTAACATGTTTCCCCAATCAAAACAAACACCACCCACGATATTTAATTAAATGTTTGAGTGTGTAGTTTTTTGATGCATCTGTCGCTCAACAAGTCTAGGCTTCAGATCTACGTGAGAGTTACATTTAGACGCTTTTATCCAGAGCGACTTACAAGTGAGAGACAACACTAAAGCCTCAGTGCAGCAGGAGACCTTGTTCTAAGTACGAAGAGCAATATCTATTCAATAAGTGCAAGGAGAAAAATACTAAGTGCTTGTTAGGTATGTTCAGGTTTCAGTTTGGAAGATTTTGAGATTGCTCAAAATTGCACAAAGAGAGATGCTGTGATCTTTGGTGGAGGACACAGTGTCAGTAAAAGGGTTCAAAGATTTGTCTTGGACATTAAAGATGCAGCAGAGCACACCAGATGAACTGGTGATGAAAAATCAACCAGGAGCCTATACAGTCCATTAAGTCGCTGCGTAAACAAATTCAGTAATGTGGAAATGGTCTTTGCAGGTTGCACAGAGAGTGGCACTTCACAGAAAATCATTTGTTTGTCTATTTAGTGTGAGATGTGTTTTCTCTTTGATTTGCATGTAGATGTTTTACGGCGAAGGAAAGAGCAGGATAAGTATTATTGTCCTATTGTAAGTCCTATTTAAGAAAGGATAACAGCAACTAGAAGTAATGTTTTGCTTTTAAATTGTCTGTTTTTACCTGATATGAAATAATAGGCAACATATTCCGGCATCAGAGAGATCAGGACTGTTTTCTGGCCTGTGTCATTAGCACCTCTGAGTTGTTCAGAAGCAGAAAGGGAAGAAAAACAAAGCACTGAGACAGAAGATGCTCTGATTCTTCTTTTCAGAGGAGATTCTGCGTTCACACTTGGCTCACTGGTGGTCGCCGGACGGAGAGCGGCTGGCTTTCCTCACCATCGACGACACCCTGGTACCGAACATGGCTCTGGCCCAGTTCACCGGCAGCACCTACCCCCGAGGACTACAGTACCCGTATCCCATGGTAAGCCTGGACTCCGGATTGTGAGTTAAAAGAAACAGTTTCTGTTTTATTTCATTCAGTCATTACATTTTGTTAATTTTTGTCTAATTTCCTGTATTGCCTCCTCTATTCCTAATGTCTTTAACCCATCTTACACATAAAAGCCTCATCATATCTTACCTCAAGCCCCAGAAACCAATCAGTCCTCCTATGCAGAGCTAAAAACGATTACTGAATAGTTCATTTAGTCGATCTCCAAATGTGAAAATTGGCTGTTTTTTTGTATTAAACTGAAAAGACTAAACATTATTATTTTTAATTTTTAATTTTGGTGGAGACGGACTTGACCCAGAGGCACCAGGACAGACCCAAGGATAATTAGATCCAAAAAAGAGAGTTTCAAATATAGAGGAAACATCCCGATCCGATAATTATATTCCCACAACGAATGTAGTCATAGAAACTACCTCTAAAAAGACTCACAGATAACAATCCTTTCACCTTCTGCACCAACAAGTAGATTTCTGTGAATGATTTCCTGAGATATTTCTGAGTATTATGTACAACTTGAGTCTCGGTCCAGTTCGTCCTTTGAGCATAAAAAGAGCATAAAACCACCTGAAATATCTCTACGAGATTAGATGAAACCAGAGGAGCTGCACTCACCGACTGAGTTTCACCTGCTTCAGAAACCCTGAAACAAAGGGGAAATTACACTGAGCAAACATTTACACAGCCAGTGGCATTTTTCTGTATTTACAGTGCAGTAATTATTTAAAAGGAACTAATTTTACGAAATGTCTCTTTTCTGCAGGATTTGTGTGTATAAAATGTGCCAAATCCAAATATGCTCTCGACCCGCTTCCTGAAATACCCTCAAGGTCATTTATTTCAGCAGCACTCAGCAGAAAGCAGAGTTATTCAGTACGGTGCTGTGTGGATTATCAGGTTCACTAATGGAAGTCAGGTCAAGTTTTTTCTCTGCTGCTTCAAACACTTGCTGTGAAAATACCACAACACATTCTCATGGCTCACAACTGCACCGATCAGCTCATTTTACTACAGCAAAAAATTGAAGGAGAATCAGCCTGTTTTTAGTCTGAGGAGAAGAAAGGGAGGTCACTGTTGGACAAATAAGTATTTGTCATAATGAAAGGAATAAATGAGAGCGTGTAAAAACAAGCTAAAGCTAATTTTTTCACATCATATCACATAAATAAGACAGTAGCTACATTTAATCTAAACAAGGGGAAAAAACATAAAAATCAACGTTAACTAGCCACTAACTGTCGCCTCTGTGTCTTTGACTTTGAGTCATTAAAGGAGCTTTAAATCGTAGATTCACAGTTTGACTAACAGTCGCAGTATTCATCTAAATTCTTTATTTATAGGGTCAGTAATTTTTGCATAAATTTCAAGACTAATTTGGGACTAATTATAGGTAAAAGGAAACAGTGTTCAATTGGTTTACTTCCAAATAATTAATTCCGGTTAAGTGACAGTAACCTTAACCCTTTAGTCAATGCACAAAATCACATGCAAAAATGTGAATTTTGTCTATAGGCAAGCGTAAAGTTTTAGAGAGAATAAAGTTTAAATAATAAATGAGTAATCACTGAATGTTTATTTGGCTTTAGATTGATTTTTTCTAACAAGGAAATTTGTATTTTCTGTATAAATAGTACAAATCTTCCAAATAAAAAATGATGAAATAATTCAGAAATGACACACCTGTGAAATTAAATGTCTTCGCTTTTTTTTTTTTTGCTGGAAAACAAGAGTTAAATCCCTGCAAGGTGTCAAATGTGGTGCAGTCACACTAAAATGATATCATAATTCACTACAAATCTGCTTGTATTGCACACACAGTGATGGTGTTGTCACACAGTAAATATAATGATAACTTTCCCGTGAAGATGCTTTCTGCTCAGCGTCTCGTTTCACGTCCTCAGGCCGGTCAGACAAACCCTGCCGTCAAGCTGTCGGTGGTCAACCTGTTCGGAGCGACACACACTCAGGAGCTGCAGCCTCCCGATCAGCTCAGACACAGGTAACACGCACGCAAAACACACACACGTGAAAGCGGCGCTCATTGTCCACAAAGTCCTCAGTTCTGATTCTCCTCTCTGCACGTCCGCCGCAGAGATTTCTACGTCACCATGGTGAAGTGGATCAGTAATACTCACGTGGCCGTGCGGTGGCTCAGCCGGCCCCAGAACGCCTCACTGATGACGGTGTGTGACGCCACCTTAGGAGCTTGTCTTCAGGTGGGTGTTGCCTTAGATTTGGGAAACAGCCATGTTGCTTTTTACTAAAACAACACAGCAATAAAAGGGAAGAGCAACACCTCTTTAAAAGTACAAAATATGTTCTTCCAACCATGTCGAGAAATGGATTTAATTTTCCTCCCTTTCTTTCAGAGACACGAGGAGTCCTCAGAGACGTGGCTTTCCAGACAGGTAAACTCCTTTCTCATAACATTTTTCAACAACAGCAACAAACTGTCTTCATATGAGCACAACGAAAATAAAATAAAATGACCTTGCCTTCGAGTCCGTGCATCACCTCCGGCTACATACTGTATTATCCTCACAGCAATATACTATGTTCCATTACTGGAGCCGAATACAGCCGAACTCATTCATGCATAAAGTATGTCAGGTCTGAAGTGTGTGTTTCTCCCCACAGACACAGGAGCCGCTGTTCTCCAAGGACAGGAGCAGGTTTTTCCTCGCTCTGCCCGTGAAACAAGGAGGTCAGGGAGACTTCCACCACGTCACCATGTTCACCAAGAAGGTGACTCCAGAAGGACTCTCCTCTCCTTCCTCCTCATCCTTCACACACTGACTCTGATTCAAATTATCTAACATATAAAATCTGCTCAGGATATGTGATAAACAGTATTTCTCATTTACACTGATTCTCCTTCAGATACGAAGCGACCAGGACGAAGTCCGCCACCTGACGTCAGGGGACTGGGATGTGACGAAAATCGTAGCTTACGACGAAAACAACCAGATCGTGTAAGTTTCAGTTTTGTTTCTTGCATTAAAAACAAATTAAGAAAAAGGTAAAATAAATGGAAAATAATCTTGTTCTATTGCAATGTAGTAAAACTTCCAGCACCACATCTGCTACTATTACCACAACTACTGATTTAATATTGTTGTTTTATCTGCTAATACACAGTACTGCTTTCAGCGTCTTTCAGCCAACGTACAAACTTTTTGGGGCTTGTGAGGAAAATTTGCAGACATGACTCACTGCTAAAAAATAATCTGTAATCATAATATTCTCCTAAAAATGACTCTTGTGCCTCTCCACCAAGCCTGGAATGAATAGCAGAAGATGAAAGTGAATATTCTAGCACTGCTGCGAATTCTTCTCTATTCTGTACAAGGAGAAAAAAGAGGTTCTGTATTTGAGAACATGTATTGAGTTGTAGCTTTGTGAGCGGCAGGGTGCATGGTTGGGTGGCCACTATGTGTAGATCCATGACCTTGTCCTACTTGAGCTGTTCTGCTTTTCCCCCACACAGATACTTCCTGAGCACAGAGGACTCTGCACAACAGAGGCACTTATACAGGTAGAATACACTCACACACACACACACACACACACACACACACAGGTGGACCACGTTGTCAATTAAAATTATTTTGTGTGTGATTCGCGTTGCCTTTTTGTGTGCGCGTGTGTGTGTGTGCTCAGTAAACACTTTGTCTCCTTCCTCTGACAGCGTGTCCACCCTTGGCCTGTTCCCGCGGCGATGTCTGACCTGCGGGCTGAAGGAGGGCTGTATGTTTTTCGACGCAGACGCCAGCCCCGATGCGCAGCACGCCATCCTGCACTGTAAAGGTCAGAGAGAGAGATTTATTAACCAAATCTTGTTGGAGTAAAGTCCCTTCAGTCTTATAGGAACATGAAGACTCTCATGTTTTTACCATCACCTTTGAGTCGCTGAACAAAGCAGCACAGAGAGTTGATGAAAAATAAAAAACGTGGCATTGCAACTTAAAGACATTTGCAGCTGTTCTGAAGGTGTTAACAGAATCCTTGAAGACTCTTTTTAAACATGTAGATCATAATTTCCCCTTTTGTTGCATGATGAAAAAGATTTTGAACCCTGACAGGACACACCGAGATATTTGAATATCAGAATTTTTATTTCGATTCACTTATTTCTGCGTTTGTGCACATTAGAAAAAGAAGGACAACATTGGAAACGAGTTAAAAATACTTTGTATCGTGCAGCAAATTATATTTTTCCATCCAGATTTAGCTGTTAGAAGTTAAACGTACATTTAAAGGTTCTGGAAAAACCTTGAAAACAGCTGTAAGTCTTTTGGGGAACGTGGTATGTTTCGAGGTTTTTTTTTTTTTGTGGAAACTTATGACTTTTGCTCCACTACACTTATAGGACAAACAGTTGTACTCAAATCCACCAGTCACGATAATTCCATATAGACCATAGAAATACCATACGCTGTGTTCCTCACAGGAGAAAAACCAATCACAGCCAACTCCTCGAGGCGGAGGATTCGTTATCTGACGTCCATGTTTGAAGGTTTAGAAATAAAAAAGGGATTCCTTTCATTTCACTGCCAACTTGAGCTGTCGAGGTTTGTAATGTTTGTTGAGTCAGTTAATAATTTAATTTAAACAGACAGCTTGTAGTAATTGTCTGTCTATTTCCTTTTGTTGATTCAGTTGTGTTTTTATGGCCATCTTCTTTATATCATATTCTACAAGCTTTTTATTCTCCTCTAAGTCAGTGCATTAATTTGATTCGTTTTTTTAAATACTTGCGTACACTGATCAATAGTAACATTTCACAACTAATTTAAATCAAGTTTGTCCATTTGCACAGGAAATTGGTCAAACTCTGATTTAAATGTGATGATAGCAACTCACCATTTAAGCCTTCAGGGACGAGTGTCCACAGGAGGATACTGCAAGGTTTTTATATTTGTAAAGCGCCTTTCAACATTGACGCGGATCAAAGTCTGTTACGCAAGACATATAAAGACTTTTAGACACAATATGAATGAAACACGAAGCCACAAGTTTGAAATGGAAAGGCTGGAGCAGACCTCAACTTGTCTGTGAGTTTGTTCCTGCTATATGTCGCTTAGAAACTGAGTGCCGCCGCTCTTCCTCCTCTCTTCTCCTCTTCCTACTTATAACCCCCAAAATAAATCAACATTTGAGTTTTGAATTCATCAGAGGCGCGCCTGTTGTTTTCATAAAAACCTTTCCACTGCAGGCCCTGGAGTTCCAGCTCTGCTGCTCCTCAGCTTTGACAACGTGGACTGTGAGTAGTCTCTATTATATTTAATATCTGAAACCAGCTTGTGTTGATGTGGTGTCTGTGCGTGTGCACATGTGATGAGATGGAAAATAGTTGCAGCAATTCACTGTCATTATTTCATTTGTGTGAAAGCATTAGCAGCTGTTGGATTTGATGCTGTGCCACATTGACTACATTGGTAATTTGTACATTTCACGATGTTTAATTTGTTTCCTATCACACGTTTAATGGCCGCTCCTTTCTCCATGAAGTAGCTAAAAGTCAGATGTTTACAGAGACTGGTTAGGAAGAAAATACATTTCAAAATGAACAAGAATAAAAAAATAAAAAAACAGTGAAAAGCTGCTTCATTTTACCGAATATCTAAGTTGGATCTGTTTTGCCGTTCATGTAACGTGACATTTACTGACGCTCTCAATAAAGCTGAGCTACAAGCCAGAACCTGAGCTATTGAATAGTATTATTCTTTAATGGAACATATATTAAAAACCTGCCTACTATGTGGATTAGTGGTTATAAAATAAAAATTCAGCAATGACCCTCCATTGCTGCGGCTTCTGGATGCAGTGCTGAATATTTAATGTGAGCTGTTGTCTGGATTCTTTTTTTATTTCTGCATGACCTCACAGTCCACCTCCGCTGCTGTACATGCTACAAGCATTTCACTTCTACACTTCCACTTCTAGTACAATGTGAAGGTACAGGAATCACAAAATGATGCACACGTGAATCCCTTTCTGCACTGACCCCTGGTGTGCGATTCTTTTCCATGTGAAACAAGTTGCTCTTTAAGCAAAACTAAAAGCTGTTTCATACAAATGCAGCTGTCAAAATTATGAGCAACTTACAAGCTACAAATATGTGAAATTAGAAGTTCGCATGTGCTACTGTTGTTTTGTAGGTAATTAAAGTATCTTCCAACACCCCCTCTATTTTCATTAAAACCAAGTGATCATGTGTAAATTAAAGCTATTCAAAGGTCCCATATTGATTCCACAATTCACAAATATATCTTGGAATGATCAACACTTCAAATAAAACTTCAAATTAAACCTCAAATCAAACACTCGACTTGTGCAAAACTCAAAACTTTTCTTTCATCACCAAAAAACCCCCCCAAAACATTTACTGTCATAGCAACAAGAAAAAGCAATTTTCACTTTGAATATATGGCAGTAAGATTTTTTAATATTACTGTTCATTCATTAGCATATTTAATGTGTCAACAGACAATATGAGCCCCTGTAAAATGCAGAATGAATATGCAACCCTGCCCTCATAACACGTCTTCACAAATGAGTTTCCTGTACCTTTAAGAAACAACCCCTGTATGAGGCTCTGCTTGGTCTTTTTAGTCCACAAAAGAGGTTTCATTTAGGGCCAATAAATAGCTGTTCCACTCACTGCGATAAATGAATGTGATTTCTTACTTCACAGCGTATTTCATCTTGGAGAACAACCTTCCTCTGCGGTCTGCGCTGGAGACTAAAAGGACGATTCAGACGGATATCCGGATCATCACTAATGACAACTTTGGTACAAATCATCCGCACTTAACAGCTGTGCTCGCGTGTGCTCTTCATGAGATAATTGAGCCACTTAAAAGGGCGAACGACACGAGTGTCGTATGTGTTTACACCTGTGTCTTTTGTATGTTTGTCGTCTGCTTGGTGGCCGTCCCTCCCTCTCCCTTTCAGCTAACGTGTCTCTCTGCTCACAGAGCTACCTCTGAAGCTCATCTATCCTCCTGACTTCTCTGAGTCCTACCTCTACGGCCTTCTCCTTATTGTGTAAGCCCATTCCACTTTGATTACATTTCCATTTTTTCCATTTACACTCAGTGCGGCCCTGCAAGCTTCAAAGGCCAAATTCATTAAGGACAGTGGAAAGTGAAATGCTTCATTCCCTTGTACCTGCAGGCTGTCAAACACTTTTCACATATCAGCAGTGCTAATAAATGAAACTAAAAGGGATGTTAGATGAGAAAATGTAAATTTAGCGTAAAATTTCACATCGTAACTACATTTTTAATGTATAAAGCTTTTTGTATGCACACCATGCAAGACTTTTCTTCTTTCTCTCTATTCTCTCAGCTAAAACTGCTGTAGTATCATAAATCTTTCCATTACTTGAGAGCTGTCCATTAGCATCGTAGCATTTTATTTTGAAGTACATGTTTGTGTAGGAGTGTCTGCACATGTATATGAAGGTAAGAAGACAAGGAAGGTTTGCAACACAAATGCAAATAAAACACGAACTCGACAAGTAGCATAATGAGTCGACACACACTCACCAAGGCTGAGGTCAGCCCACAAAGTGCTGTTTACTTCTTATTAAATCAAATCCCTGCAGCCGTTCATGGAAGAGTGAAGGCAGGTTACATATGGATGTAGTGTGGGGGCGTCCACATACTTTTATACTTTTGTATATTGTATTCAATTGCCTAACACAATGGAGCAGCCTCAGCCTTCAGTGCTGCATGGTTCCCTGAATATGATACACACCTCTGGGTGACCATAACAGACAGCAAAGTTCCCACTGTATGTGATAACCATAACCTTCAACACAGAGCAGAAATATGATGAAATACACAACAATAAAATGAGTTAAATAAACAGATTCATATTCAAGCCATAATGTGTTTAGTGCCGTAATCAGTATTCTCTGTATGTCTCTAGGAAGCATTTGATTCTTATTTAAAGGTCCATACAGTCTAAAGGTAGATGTCCATGTGCTGTGTGATTATAAAGCAGGTCTAGGTTCTATATTAATACTGTGAAAGTATCAAAGTGCTCAGTCCACAGAGAAATGCAAACAGCCACAAGAGAGGCTCAGAGCCTCCTCTCTTCTGATTGGCTCGCCAACCTGTTGTTACTAGAGCTCCAGAGAGAAGCCTGAGAGGGGAGATGTAAAACTACATTGAGATGGTTTTTGGTTCTTATAACCACAAATATATGTTCTTATGGATCAACAATAAAACACAGGAGATGTGGAAATTATGGAGGTTTAAATATAAAATTATTAAATTAAAACTAATATGAAGCGTAAATAAAAGTTTCCATTTGTAAATGTTGATAAATTAGTGTGCACTTTGGTGTGTGCTTGTAGTGGCAGTTCTCCAGGAGATCAGACGGTGACAGAGGAGTTCAGCTTGGACTGGAACTGGGTACTGGTGGGATCTGAGCAGGTCATTGTGGCGCGACTGGACGGCAGAGGGTCGGGGTTCAGAGGTCAAAGGTAACGCATGCTCCCAGTAATATGCAACTTTTTTTTTTTTTTAGCAGTTTTACACGTCTTGAAGTTTCTTTTCTTCCTTAAACTTTTTTTTTTTTTTTCCAGATTTGACTCTATCCTCTGATCCTCTCCGACCGAGCTCATGATCCCTCTTCTTCTTCTTGTCACTTCACAGGGTTTTACAGCAGGTCCATCTGAGGCTCGGCACAGTGGATGCAGAGGACCAGATAGCCGCTCTTGAGTATGTAACACAGGCCTTCGCACCCTTTCCCCCTCCACCATGTGTAATTTTAACTTCTGTGAGAGTCGCCTTTGTGCCTCAGTGTCTGTGTCTCTCTCTGATTTCTATTCATTTGGAAAGATGGGAGTTTTGAGGGTATTTTTTCTGTGACTGCCCGTGAAGCTCATCAGAATTTCAGAGACGCCTTCTTTGTAACATTTTGTGGAAAAATGCAGACAGATGTGTTTGAAGGAGCGTTTTATTAATGCAGCATATAACATCATTAAGGAGTATAAAAAATTTTAAAAAACAAACATCTTAGATAGCCTGGAATAATTTCGGAATAATTGTAGGTTTGCCAGTTTGCTGTTTTCTAAAACAGAATGTATGAATTTATTAATCGATTCATCAATCGACAGAATTCTCACATGGGAATATTTGCTCGTTTTCTTTATCTTCTCTGTGAGTAAACTGAATATTTTTGGTTGACTGCACAAAACAAGACATTTGAAGGAAACTATTTTAAGTTTTATAAAGCAAATGATTTGTTCATTGATTGATGAAATAATAAAATAATAGTTAATTGCAGCAGAAGAAAGATTTTTACGATACAGAAACAAAAACACCATGACAGCATCGCAGCAACAATGTGCTGCTTTATTACTTATTTATTTTTATTTTGTTTTGGTGACACACATGGCGCCATGGTGATCTGCCGGGTTTTTTCATTTCTTTTCCCAGCAGCCCTCTCTCACATGATCAGTCAAGGCATCGCAGGAGTCTTGTCAGCGATTCCCTGCGGCTTTAACCTTTGACCTCCTCACTGGTGGTTATCTGCAAATTGAAGCTTCTTCCATGCTTCTGATTGGAGCTCAAAAGCGCAACTTAATGCCTCTTTAATTGCACATATTAAAAAATACCCCCCCCCCTCCCCCCTGTTCTTCAGGTACCTGGTGAAGCTGCCGTTCATCGATCGCACTCGTGTCGGAGTCTTTGGAGAGGTTCGTTTGTCAGCCTGTGAATTAATCATCCTGATTTCTCAGCCCACTGAATAAATCTGTGCGGGCTGGGAAGCTAAATGAGGCTTACTTAAGTTATTTGACTTGTTGTAAGCACACACACAATAATCAATGAGTTCATTCATAATGATGTGAACGATTTCTGATGAGAGGAAAACTGAGTGTGTTTACGTGCTGGTGTTGAGTCTCATCCTGGATTTAATCGTAGTAAATCCACAGTGCTCTGTTCTGATATTGAAACTGTGTAATGATCAGAAACCTAAAATCTGATCACAGCTGTGGGATCAGAGCATGCAAACAAACTCGATGTTGTTTTCAGTTGTGAAGGGTGTGTAGTTATTCTGTTTGTCTTTCTAGAAAGAATCTATAATCAAGTCAATTGTGAGAAAAATGTGCAGAAATTTGGAGTCGATATAAACTCAGACACCCCTCTAATAAATATTGTAGGTGCAGGTTCTTCTTTAGTATCTGGTAGGTGCAAGTATGAAAATATTCAGCCTGGTGATGGCAATGAAAATCTGGTTTACTGCGTCTCCATCAGGACTACGGCGGCTTCCTCACACTCATGATGCTGAAGTCGACGGAGAAGCTGATCAGATGTGCTGCAGCTCAGGCTCCTGTCATTGACTGGTCCATGTACGGTGAGCGAAGCATTAAAGTGCATTTCCTCTTTAATGCACACACTGCAGTGACATGAGAAAAAGCTTATTGAATCTTTCGTTTGCAGGGCCAGTATGGAGCTCCTGCTGTATCTGATTAGACTTAAATAGACTGATGTGTGTCTGTAAATCCTGTAGTTCTCATATTAAGGACTTTTTTTCTGGAAGATGAAAAGAGACGTACTGTGTAGGATATAAAATCTCTTGTCTGTATTTCTTAAAAGTGTTTGTTTACTATCTTTCAGCTTCAGCGTTTTCTGAAAGATACTTCGGTTTGCCTTCAACTGAGGAGAACCGCTACCAGGTGAGCTGCGTCTGCCAGTCATCCACCTGCTGCTCAGCTTGGTTTGGTCGTTTTTATTTTTTCCAGTTACCAGACGCAAAATGTTCAGTGTACGTTAAACAATACAGAGGGGCTCGGCTCAATTGGGAAAATGTTGCCAAGGGGTCAATTAAAGCCAATTACTCTGAGACAGCTCCATGGCAACAAATGAATGATCTTCAGTTGAAAAAAATCAACAAAAAAACACTTATTGTTTCCGATCAATAACAAACAAGAAAAAACAGAAATAAGAATTACACACTGGTGTTTTTGGGGTGATAAAATAATGGTGGGGCAACAACAGATACTTTGGACAGATGTGCGGTCAGCCAATCAAACAGCAGCGGAGCAACAGTCCTTTTTCTGAGATTCACTTTCATTACCAACAACTTTGTTTTCCCACTCGACATTGTGAGAAATGAAAACACAGTGTTAAAACTATCTATCAGCCAGAAAATAAGGATTTTCCAGATGTTTGCTGATGTTAAAGGAGATACAGCTGAGCGGCTGCTGTTGTTCAGCTTATAAATAAAAATACGACAGTGCAGTGACTCAACATGAAATGTTTTTTTTAACAATGTTCTTTCCACAAAATCTGTTCTGGCTCGGCGGAGGTCACGCCGCTTTCTGAGCCATGAGCTCCGCTTTGGTTCACTTCACGAACAAAACAGTCCCCTTCTGTCGAAAATGAAAAAAGAGAAAATGTACCCACTAGCATTTTAGCCAATGCTCCAGATCTCGTCCTTTGCAACAGCAAAAAAATAGAAAAAATACACAATTGCTGTCTAAGTGAAGGTCTCAGTCAGAGTGTGTTTTCCCTCCTAAGTGGGCTGCGTATAACTGGGCCAGAGGACGCTATTTTTGTGACAGAAAATGTGGCACGATCCGATCAGACAATAATCAGCGGGACATCATCACTCACCCTGCTCTCAGAGACTAAAGAAATGGGTTATAAAAACGTGTGGGTGTTGACGTGCGGCGACCGACTGTGGCTGGAAAATTGTCCCGTTTGAATCCCAGCGGGGGAAAACTGAATAATGGGAGTGAGAGACTGAGATATCCTCCACTTTAACCGCTTCACTGGAACCAATATGCAATCTGGCTATTTGTTTCAGAGAAAAATACAAGTTACTGTGCACTTCTGTGAGCTGGATGCTGAATTATCTACAAAATCTGTCCAAAAAGAATCCAAATGAGTATCACAGAACTTTATTTTTTCTTCTTCTTCATCATTAATCACCTCACGACCCCTCAGATTTATGTGGTGACCCTTTGGAGGAGGGATAAGGATATGATTATTATCATTATTGTTATTATATTATTGGGGTCAAATCTGACTGTGAGAAAGTGCTGATTTTAGTTTTTTATTTCGACCACATCCTGTTGATAAATAAAGTTTTATTTTCCAATCATATTTTTTAAAATTATTGTTATTTCTTATTTTGGACAAATTATTGCATAATAATGAGTAAACTGATTTTGGTTTCAGAGCTGAAGGTCACTGTAAACTGGATGTAAACACATTTTACATCCAGTTTTACAACCTTAGAATCAATGAAACATTAAAGCACGTGTTCATTGTTTTATTTTGTGCTATTAAAATGATAATTCAAGTTAAATGAGTATTTCTGCATTAATATATTACCTGACAACTTCTTCTACCACTAATCTTCAGGTGACAATGCTAATGTGTCTTTATCCGTGTGTCCAGGCGTCCAAAGTCCTGCCCAACCTGAAAGGTCTGCAGGGAGGAACTCTGTTTCTGGCTCACGGGACGGCCGACGGTACAAACATTTATTTTCATTGCAGCTTTCGTTGCAAAATAAAACATAAGATGTCATTTTCATAGTAACCCACAATGTGTGTGATTAACGGTGCTTGTGTCCTCTTAAAATGAGCCTCTTCATAACACAGAGCTCTAAACCTTCACCAGAGGAATTAACCCCCGCCGACACTAAACTCGCATGTTTTGTTTTTCTCCGCAGCAAACGTTCACTTCCAGCACTCGGCAGAGCTCATCAAACACTTGATAAAGATCGGAGCCAACTACACTATGCAGGTAAACACCAGGCCCAGCTGTAGAATACATTTCATTCTTCAAAAAATAACTTCAACTGGGCCCAAAATAACATAAAATAAGCCAATTTCACAAGGCCCTGCTGCGTGACGTGTCTTGTTATCAAAGTCAGAACCACAACATCATCATCCTTTATCAGATATGTGTGATTTAGGAAACTGGTTCATTCGAGTTTCTTCGTCGTATGTTCAGAAGAACGCCAGAAATCCTGAATTAGAATCACGATACCTGGAAAACATCTCCGTTCCAAACTGCACTTGAAAAACAGTAGTTTTAAAACAATATCAGAAAATAACCTTAACGTTCACTTTCCCCCTTAATTTCCCCTTAAAGGGATAGTTCCACTTTCTCATTTAACTCTCAGCAAGAAAGCAAATAAACATCCTGCCCAGAATATCAGACTGTAAATAAACTTGGTCCTCTATGTTCTATATCAGCTTGTTCCAAACCTCCATTAAAGCTGTATGATGTTTACACTGAGTGAAATATTAAAAGTGAGCGCTGCACCACTCAGTCGAATGGAAATATTCCAGTTTCAGATTTATCTTTGGAAATGTTTGGATCTTTCACCAGTATTTCAAATAAAGTTCTGTGGATTTGATAAGTGTTTGGCTGCACAGCATGAGTGTGTAATGGTTGACATGCTGGTGAGTGTCTTAAATTATTCATAAAGTACTGTAGAGGCCAAACAATGCCTGAAGTATTTTGCTCTAAAGCACAAATTAAAAATGAATCCATATGTTTAGAACAAAGCTTTTTTTTATCAGGGGAAACTTTTAACTTTTTCTTAAAAAGTTAACTGGAAAATATCGTGAAAACAATAATGACATTTTAGATTCCACATGTCTGAAAATATAGTTTCAAATATCTGACAAATTCTGTTACAGGCTGTAAATGAAATACTGATTTTCATGGGTTTTCACTTTACCTGAAGGTTAACGCTCCCCTTTCATTCAAAATCAATTTTACCATCCTTGAACTCATAAAACCTTATTTCACACCTCATTGAATAGCCTCAAAAACATGCAGCTGTCAGACGGAAAATGAGGGCTGTTTGTCACGCTGTCGACAAAAAGTTGATTTTTACACACTTTCCTTTGACAGACACAAAGAGTCTTATACAAATACATAAATATGACTAACAGAATCTCCACTTGTGCTCGTCCTGGTGCTTCTGAATGCATCACATGGTCTTCCTCTGCAGAGAAACCTTCCTCTGTTGTGAACTCAATACGCTGATGAAGTAGAAGCAAGTTAAGTGGACCATGAGATGGATTTGATAAAAGTTTGTTTGAAATGAAAACACTGACAAGTGGGAAAAAAGGACCTTGTATCTTCTCTACTTATTCATCTCTTGATTTATTTTTGTTATTATTTTCAGATTTATCCAGACGAGGGACACTTTCTGTCCAAACGCAGCCGGATTCAGCTGACTCATTCCCTGATTGGTTATTTCAGAGGCTGTCTGCTCGATGCGTCATCGTTACTCAGCCAACAGCGTGACGACGAGTGAGAGGCTGCTGGATGGCGTTCGACAACTGTGTGTGTAGGTTTGTGTGTTGACGAGCATCTGTGCCCCTGGTAGACTGATTTGAGTGTGTGTGTGTGTGTGTGTGTGTGTGTGTGTGTGTGTGTGTGTGTGTGTGTGTGTGTGTGTGTATGTATGTTTTATACCTGTAGCACAATGTTGGATGGACAAAACAAGCTTCTTATCAACATATCAGACCAGTTTCCATCGCTCATCACGTCAGTAGACTAAAGCTCCTACACTCAGCTCTGTTGTCAAGTATTATAATGCAGTTTTCGCCTGTAGGGGGCGCTAGGTAGCAAACAATCTAACGGAGGTTGATTAGAGAGGTTATCTCTTAAATTCTTAAACTCTTAAATTCTACAAAAAAATGGATGCAGTTTCTTGGAGGTCTCTAAACATGCACTGACACTTTTTTGCTAATTTAATGAAATTAGCACAAATTTCTGACACACAATGATTTGAATGAAATATACTTTTGACTTTGACCCCAGAAACATTCGTTGTTAAAGACCCTTAAAACCCGTTGTCATGGTAACCAACCTTGTATTTGGTATTCTGCCACAGACGACACAGTCAGGCTTTAGGAAGATGTTGTATTGACGGGTTGAAACCGCCTGTCACTACAGGTTGTTTGCCTGTTATTAAATGGATTTTTTTTAGCAGCCTGTTATATCGATTACAAGCTCTTTCTCTAAGTATTGAGAATTTTTGTCTTCATGCAAATTGCCCCAATCCGCTCTGTCAGTGTGGGCTAAAACTGTTTTCAAAAGCACGGGCATCATTGTTCCTCCAAAACTTCTGACATCAAGGACATTGCTGTGGCTAATTGTTCCTCTTATGGCGCCTTCGTATCCTCTTTACTGTCATTTTATTGCTTCATCCGTGAGTGATTCACTTGTACAGCCTCTTAGAAGTGTCATGTCTGCTAATTTGTAGTTATTGAAACATTTCTTATGACACTATCTCCTTATTGTGATTTATTTATTATTTTTGTATTTATTTAATTCTAAAAAAAAGTGGCATTTTTGGGACATGATGCCGGTGAAGTGTCTAAGATTTCCCTGAGAAAATCTGCGTTGCCTTCAGTTGTTACCTGAACGAGCGGGCGTGAGGGGTGTAGCCTTTTATTGCCCCGGGTCTTGCCTGTCAGGCTCCTTACAGGCTGCCTTACCTTAATCCTGAAGGGGGTTGGGGCTCTATGCAGCCTGCAGAAACTGCACGTTTTGTTTGATTAAATCTATATTTAAATTTACAATTAATATTTTCCCAAGAAAGACACAATAAGACAGTTTCGCACAATTTTCTTCAGAACGTATCAGGTATTTGTAAATGATAATATGTATGGTTATATTCTACTATGATTATGAAAAGCACATAAACTGATTTTGATTTAATTTATTGATTGAAATGTTTTTGTTGTTAATGTTCTCTTATTTAAACCCCCCCTGTTGCTTCACAGTTGCAGGATTTAAATGAGATTATTGATGAATAGCTACTAGCCACTCACAGTCCAGGCTGTTCTTTGTTTGGGGATAAAACAAACAAAGCAAACACTATAATGGGAAAAATAATCTGCAGCAGGTCTGTTGCCGTTTACGTGGCGATGTACCACTTATGATGTATCATTTCTGCTGTAATGGACTCATCTCTCATGTAAAAATGTCATTAATTGAAATTTGTCTCACCACTGTTCTGGGTAAATTACTTCAAGTGCAATTGCTCTACACTTTGCAGTCATGTTTGTGCATTTCCAGCCGCTTAAAACGTGTTTTTTGCTGTACCATGCATTTTGGAAGCGCTGCCATATTATAGTCTTATCCATGAAGTATTGCACTAAAAGGCATCGTAAGTGTTATGGCAACACAGAGCATGAGAGCGCTCTTCATTGTGATTATGGGTACGAGGGTGATTCAGACGATTACTGTCGGGTGCCATTAATCACAGTGATGAATGTCCTCTGTGCTGGGGGGGGGGGGGGCGACTCGTGTCCGGTGTCTGGAGTTTCATTTTCAAAAACAGGGGGGAAACCGCTGTTACAAGAGTTGGTATGAACTGTGGTGATAATCCCCTAACACTGGGCTAGCAATCGGTTGCCATGCCAACGTCTTTGGTATCCTTGGATACAGCTACACTCTCATAATTCATTTAAAGATGAAACATGGAGCTCTTTGCATCTTGGGCCGAGCAGCCGCTGATGCAACCCCATCCTACGTTTATCCGCTAAGAAATCAACACTGTCTGTGCTGCGTAACATCCGAGTCCAATTTAAAGTGTCAGTATGTGAAGTCATGGCTATTGTCTTTAATGGGGTTTGTACTGTGAGTTTAACTTGATTTTCTTCTGGGAGGGGGTCGGGGGGGGCGGATGTTGTGAATGTGGGATTAATAAAGAGAAGCTTGTTGTATTTTTTGGCTGTTTTAATATTAAAGAAAAATGAAGGAGCCAGATTTGAGTCTTGGTTTTTTTTGTGAAAGTCAAAAACAGCAGCTTTATCTTATTTCTAAGGTTTCTAAGCTTCATATTCATCCTGGAGACTCAGTGACTTTCTTTGTGTCTGTCACAGTTCGATCTCTTTTAACTACATTCGATACTTGTGCGTTTGTTAAACTAAGACCGAAAGTAAACTTAAAACACGGCTACAGCTACTTCTTAATATCACCATTATCACTCTCCACTTGTGCAGGCAGGAGGCGATTTGAGGGGGGATGGCAAGGGATGTCGCCCCCCCTTATTAACCTGCCACCACCCAGGTTAGGGGCGGCCTAACTTTTCACTGGGAAAAACCACCCAAAGTAAATACAAAAAAAAAAAGCAGCCTTCATAATTACAAACCACCTAAAACTACTTTCAGCTGACGAATAAAGTGAAAAGCTGTTGAATCTGGCAGCAGCACATATTACAGACACGACAAACCTTGCTTTTGTTCAGCCTGCCTACATGAAAACTGAACTCTTGCATAGTATCTTCCACTTCTTCCTTTGTTGCTGCATAAGAAGTGGTATCTTTTATCTTCTTTTTAAAAAACTTTTTTTTTTTAAAAACATAATGTGTCAAATTTCCACTGAAGTCCTGCGTTACTGAAATCCTGGCACCTTGAGCTGAATAAAGTAAAGGAGAATTTAAAAAAAAACCTTTAATACAAGTAATAAAGATGATAAAGAATCTTTATATAACATTTTAGATTTCTTTCAGCTAACGTTACTGAAGGAGTGTGAAGGCTCCAGACACTCACAAAGGAGCACTCTTCATGCTAGTTTGTGACATGGTCTAGTACTTCAAATAAAAATATAATTTCACATATTCCTTTCATGTCTTCTTGTCTTTTTTTTTTTTTTTTTTTACAACCCACAGTCTCACTGTGAAGGCTGTCACAACACTATATATTGTAATAGTCATTTAGGGAACAGTTTGCATATCTGTGGACTTGAGGAAAAGTCTGGATAAAGGGCTCAAACAGTCCACATGCAGACCTTTGCAGACTGGACCACTGGTTCATTCATGGGCTGCTTGGCAACCAGCTGACCCTCCGCCATCCTAACCTCTACCTTCTTTACTAAGCTCTTACAGCTGTTGACCTTGTTAAGACAAATCTATAAGACAATTTACTCCTAGTCTTGCATATGCAGTGCTTTATCCATCCATCAGCAGTCTGCCCTGATCCTACTGTGACTGTGCACTGATATCAGCACCTTTTAATTTCCCTTTGTCATACTGTAGGTGTGGCTGTGTTTGTGTAGCCATGTCAGCGGTCTGAAAACACCACATACACCCACACTGAGAACAAAACACAACAGGAAAACTTCCTGTTCTTAAAAATAAATGGGAAAAGAACATTTATCTTTGTCTCTGTCCTTCATAACCTTTATAAATCCCCTGACCACGCTGCCTAGAGCTGTAATTACATCAAAGCAATTACAGAGCCAAAATGAAGGCCTCATCCACTGAGGAAGGGAGGACAAAGTCCGCCAGCAACTTCAGAAACTTTGAATTAAGACCTGAACCGGGAAATAAGTCCGTCTCTGGTGGGTCTGCGCAGAAAAATCTTAAAAGAAGGAAAGGCCTTTTGTACACTTTGTACTGTAGCAAAAGACAAATCCACCTTAGTTTTAAACAACTTAACTCAGTGGTATGGGGCTGAGGTCTGGGCTCTGCAAAGGCCAGGCATGTTCTTCCAACCATGGGCCTCAGTTTGTGCAGTGTCACGCTGAAGGAGAGGACCTTCCACAGAGATAAAAGATAAGGTGATTCATTCTGTACTCATGGACAGATGATGAGACAGCAGGTCCTTGTCATTTTGCCCCATAGTAGTTGTTTGGCGCCTCCTCATGGTCATTCTGTGTCCTTTTATTATTATTTTGTGAGTTTTTGATGTGGTGAGGTGAATCTTTGTTATCATTCTACATCTCTTTGTGGTCGTTTCATGTGTCTTGACGGTTGTTTTGCGTCACTTCAAGCAGAAGCTGGCCCCCGTGACTCCTCGGGCCCCTGGGCCTCTGTCTGCTAGGCCTGTTCAGTAACACATCCATGTCTGAACTGTAGCATTGAGATTTATTTTCCCTGGAAATTAAGGGGCCGAACCCAAAAGAGATAAAAACAGCCCTGGACCAAAGTACAAAGCAAGTTTCACGTAGGAACAGTTCCTGAATCTAATACCAGACAGACCAGAGAGTGTAAACAGTCCATTAAAAAGGTACAGTGAGCAGACAGGAAGACGTCACTATGCTGTGGTTCGTCAGAGGCAGACAGAGACAACAAGCTGTCAGTGAGGAGGACACAGCGGAGACAGACTACAGCAAAACTATTTTACTGTTACTGTACTCTTATAGAGCTACAAGGTGAGAAACCTGTGATTATGGACGTTTTGTTGAAACTTTCTGACTGATACTGTCCAGTAAATCTTAATAAGAAATAAAATACAGATATAAAATATCAGAGGACTTCAATGTCACAGGCCCTTAGACATTTCACTGTTCAGGCTTTAACTGGAACTCTGGAAAGTGTAATTCTGATCGTCATGGCGGTTCAGCTGCATTTCAAAGTAACATAGCGCCGCCATCTTGTGGTGGAAGCTGTGCCGTACACCCAAAGTGTGTCGCAGGGGAGAAGCACTAAATCTCAGCCGTGAGATGCTTTTGTCCTGTTTCTGGTAATCTGCTTAATTTAAAGTAAGTAGTAAATTTCTATTTTGTCCACATTGTGGAAAAAAAAAAAAACACTTAAGATCAGTATTATTATTATTTCAGTTGAATTTGTGTAGGTTTTCGAGTTGTTGACAAAATTAATCTTATTCAAATTAATCCAATAATTTTGATACATCATTTATCAAGCAAAAAGAAGATTTGCTGTTTTTCTATTTTGTTTATACCATTTTAAATAAAATATCTTTAGGTTTTGGACTATTAATTTGTAGACACACCACCTTGACCTCTGAGAAACTTTTCCTTTTCTAAACAGATTTCACTAATAGCTCTATATCTTAATTCATATTTTATATAAGTGGTGCACCGTAAATCAAAGACTTTAAGGAATAATAATGTCAGTATGGTTGTGACCAAGAAAACTTTTGATCAAGAGAAGAATAGGTGCTCTTTAATTAGAAAAGAAGGTAAAGGTACATTCTCTCTCACAGGAGAGTCATTTTCAGTAAAACCAAACACCATGGGATTGAGCTTGGACAAACCGCTGCTTGGCAGTAACATTAGTGTTTTTTTTTTTGTTTTTTTTTAATGGTCTACATACCAGTCATAAAACTGCACATTTACACTCAGACTGCCTCTAGAGGAGACTTAACTCAATGACTTTAAAATCATTTCTTGAGGTGATGAAGCATTTGACAATCTGAGAGAACTCTACCTTTCCTCTAATCCAATCCCTCTGCAATTTGTTTTAATACTCCTCGCCCTCTTCATCTTCTTCGAATGAGTCGATGCCGACCTCTTCGTAATCCTTCTCCAGGGCGGCCATGTCCTCTCTGGCCTCTGAGAACTCTCCCTCCTCCATTCCCTCTCCGACGTACCAGTGGACGAAGGCCCTCTTGGCGTACATCAGGTCGAACTTGTGGTCGAGTCGAGCCCAGGCCTCTGCGATGGCGGTGGTGTTGCTCAGCATGCACACGGCCCTCTGCACCTTGGCCAGGTCTCCTCCAGGAACCACAGTGGGAGGCTGGTAGTTGATGCCCACCTTGAAGCCTGTGGGACACCAGTCCACAAACTGGATGGAGCGCTTGGTCTTGATGTTGCCGATCGCCACGTTGACGTCTTTTGGCATCACATCGCCACGGTACAGCAGGCAGCAGGCCATGTACTTGCCGTGACGAGGGTCACATTTCACCATCTGGTTGGCTGGCTCGAAGCAGGAGTTGGTGATCTCAGCCACAGTGAGCTGCTCGTGATAGGCTTTCTCTGCTGAGATAACTGGGGCGTAGGTGGCCAGAGGGAAGTGGATGCGAGGGTAGGGCACCAGGTTGGTCTGGAACTCTGTCAGGTCCACGTTCAAGGCGCCGTCGAAGCGCAGGGAGGCGGTGATGGAGGAGACGATCTGGCTGATGAGGCGATTCAGGTTGGTGTAAGACGGACGCTCGATGTCCAGGTTCCTGCGGCAGATGTCGTAGATGGCCTCGTTGTCCACCATGAAGGCGCAGTCGGAGTGCTCCAGGGTGGTGTGGGTGGTCAGGATGGAGTTGTAGGGCTCCACGACGGCTGTGGACACCTGAGGAGCCGGGTAGATGGCAAACTCCAGCTTAGACTTCTTACCAAAGTCTACTGAGAGGCGCTCCATCAGCAGAGAGGTGAAGCCTGAGCCGGTTCCTCCTCCGAAGGAGTGGAAGACCAGGAAACCTTGGAGCCCTGTGCATTGGTCCGACTGGACGAGAGGGGAAGAATTTACAGTTTAATTTTGAAACAGACTAAAAACCAAACATGTGGCTCTCAGGTCTGATTAGTAATTAATGTTTATAACATCCAGAATATCAAGGTTTGTTCAAAAACTGCACTTCTTGGTGAAAGAATAGTATTTCCTTTTTAAAGAATAAACATTTCTTGAGAATTTTCTTTTTTTCTTGACATGGTGGTTTTTAAATCATCTCACAAAAGCAACAAATCACCCTGCTCTCTAAGTTAACAGCTGACGAGGTTTTCTCCACTTCAGACAGCATGATTAATGGCATGCTCTGGATGTTGTGAAATTGCTCTTAAGCATCACATCAATAATGTTTGAATTTCAGCTCCAAGTCTCCCTCTTTCTGCCCGTCTTACCAGTTTGCGGATCCGGTCGAGAACAGAGTCGATGTGTTCCTTTCCGACGGTGTAGTGACCCCGGGCGTAGTTGTTGGCGGCGTCCTCCTTCCCTGAGATGAGCTGCTCAGGGTGGAAAAGCTGGCGGTATGTGCCTGTACGGACCTCATCTAAAACAGAGATCAGAGGTAGCGTGTTAAAAGGTAGTGAGGGGAATTTATGTACGTTTTTTTGTAAGAGTTTTTCTTTTCTAAGGATTGCACAGATTTTTAAGCCCGCTGACACAAACTTGATTTTTGACACTTCACTGAAAACACTTAAAATACACAATGGTCTGTTTTTGCTTTTCTCCAGATAAATATGAGACAACAAATAGGCCATTCAGTTGCTGAATGATGCATCATTTTACATCTACAAACCACTTTGTAAGTACATTTATTAAAGAAAACATAACTTTACGTGACAAATAACAGTGCAAAAATATAATAAAAAAAAAAGGGTATACTTATGAAAATTTAATTCAATTCATAAAAATAAGTAAATACATTCAGAGCTGAAAAACTCAGTTTAATGGGATGTAGGAGTCAAATTATCATAAATGAGTATTTAACTGAGCAGGATGCAACCAATGGCATTAACGTTATATGCACAATACCAATTATATAATCTGATATGACCTTTGATCAAAGTATAAATTCATATAAGTGGCGTCGCTCCACTGTCTTAGAAGAGCTGGTTCAAACAGGTCATCAGCCAGATTAATCATTATAGTTTTATGGACTTTGTTGCTTCCTTCTTTCTTGCCCTTTGAAAGTTTAACGTTCCTTAAGTCAAGTTACTTTGACTCAAAAATGATTCCATTTCTAAAACAACGGCTCCTGTTGTCTTTTAACAGTTGTCGAGCAAGACCCTTCCTCCTAAACATCACCTCCTGGGTAGGAGTGTATTCACTTCCTTTTGTGTTTCTCCTCCTCACCAATAACTGTGGGCTCCAGGTCGACAAAGATGGCCCTGGGGACGTACTTCCCCGTGCCGGTCTCGCTGAAGAAGGTGGTGAAGGAGTCGTCGTAGCCACCGGTGGGCTTCTCAGTGGGCATGTGGCCGTCGGGCTGGATGCCATGCTCTAGGCAGTACAGCTCCCAGCAGGTGTTGCCCATCTGGACACCGGCCTGCCCAACGTGGATGGAGATACACTCGCGCTGTGGAGGGAAAAATTGGCACATTTTTAGAGTTTAAATGTTTATAATTTAACTTTAATAAGTTTTAAATCCAATCTGATTTTGAGATATTTAACATCTGGCTGCACATTATGATTAAATTCAACTTTATTTTTTTCTCCATTTCCAGCCACTGAATGTCAAAATTATCACTGACTTCATCATGCAACAGCTTTTCAGTACATGAATAGGTCAAACCATTTTACTGGATAGCTAATGCAAACACATCTGCCTTTAAACCTGTTTTGACCTGCTGGAAATGACAGTTAAAACTGGGTGGAGTCAACCACTTTCACATCATTTGCATCACAGATTCATTTGTTTGTGTTCCAGACCTCTTCCGCAAACTTCGCTGAAAACTGTTAAATGTTGAAACATCCTTCCAAGTAGGATGTGACACATCAATTCAGAAGTCGCCGATCTAAATAAGCGAGCGGTGGTGATTAACACAGGCTTGTCAGAGTGTCTGTAGGGGCCAAAGTGCTCCCACACCCTGCTGAGGTATTTCTAGGTCAATGGTAAATGATGTGGGTGGTGGAGGAGCGTGAAGGAGGACACGCCGTGGCCTGAAACAAGTTTGGTCTCATTTGGAAGGACAATTCTGCCTGAGGGAGTAGAGGATGCAACGTTGTGTGTCCTGGTTGGTTAACCAGCCTTTTAAAAAAAGTGGAAAAGTGCAAATGTGCAAGACAGAGAGAAGAAAACAAACCCTAACTTCTGGTAAAAGTAGGAGAAAGAAATCTAGTAACTTGTGTTATAAAAAAAAAAAAAAAAAAAAATGCAGGAATCAGATTCACCTCTGCTGATCTATAACCGCTGTGTGTTTAATGCTGCTGCAGTGAGTGTCAACAAAAGGCCAGCTGTCACTGGTTATATGAGAACACAAACACGTCGAGTACTGCTGTCAAAATATCATTGTGCTGCTCTTAGTGACACTCTTCACGCCTGCTGAGACAAGCGTTTAGGTAAACCCAACCCTGTCATCTTTACGTATGATAAATAATCCCACCTTCCCACCTTCGAGGGAAAAGAGACCCGTTACCTATCTGTCGCTGACCATGACCTCATTTTTGGAGGTGACACAGGAGCCGGTGAAACGTTTGTGTTGTTTTGGAATTCCTGTGATGTATAAGCCGGGGCGGTCGTTGTGTTTTTCCAGTGTGACGTCTTTAGCAACACAAACAACCAGATTCCAGCAATGCTCAACAGAACACGTCCTTTGACAAGATCTAATAAGCTTCAGTGCGCAGACATTTTTCAGGGATTACAACAGGCATAATACGATGTTGTTACAGCTGAGTGACCTGCTGTACTTCAAGATATCCACCGTCTTGTAGAACGATGTTTTTATCAGTGTGACTTTGGATTAGTTGACTTTTGACCCCATGAACACCCCCCCCCCCAAAAGAAAGAAAAACAAAAAACCTTGTGCTAAGGACAGAGGGCAGAGGAGGGGTCACAGTGACTTGGAAGTTGCCAAGTATGGCGATGCCAGCCAGCTCAGCAGACAGCTATTTTGAGTGAGGCATCAATCATACGACCCACACAGACTCTCACACCCCAGCAGCTCTAACCCACTAACCCGTTTCGACTCCCAGGCTGCAGCTTATATCATGGACGTAATATGCTAAAGCTAATTTACAGTCTATCTGCAAAATGCAACGTGCAACTGCAGAATATTACTACGCTAATATGAAGCATGAGCTGTAAGTTTCCCCGCTGTTTTTCTGAGTCATATAGTTTTGACATTTGCTGACAGGATGTGACAAAAGTGGGAGTGGTGGCCTGCTTGCTTCATGGTGTTGCAACACACCACATCGGCTCATGTTTACAAGACAAACGGCCTGTGAAAGTTACACTTCCAGGCAAAAGGGGGAAGTGGAGGGGGGGGGTCCCACACTGGGGGTCATTATCTGCTTCCTGTATCTTGCCCAGACTGAAAGTACGTCATGTTTGACGTTGAGATCGCAGCATGTGAGAGCAGACACAGAGGAGCATTGTGCTGTAAAAAACTTGTTATGAATCGGAAAAACACTTTGGGGTTTCAAGGTTTCCTGAATAAAAAAATGAAATGGAAGAATGTTTTTCCAACCTGAGAACAGATGCAAACCATAAAACCAGAATGTAATGTGAATATAATAAATGTAGAACAGAAGAGGCTGATTATCTCCATCTAAACCCACACTAACTACTTTTAAAAAGGTGGATTCTAAATGACACATCCTATGCTTTCATGTTGTAAATGCTTCAACAGGAAGTGCCACCAGAAGTCTTTTTTTTTTTTTTTGCAGTTAACTGCTCATTTACTTACTTCTGTTTTTATTTGCTTAACAAATGAACTGCAGACATTACAACACACTCACTGTTTGCACAAAGGAACAAAGTCAAAAGGGAAAAGTCGGTGTCCTAAACTCATGATGAAGAATGAACTTAAGACTCTTTAGCTCGTAAAAATGTTGATCCAAGGCCTCAAGGATTTATGTCATGCGCCTCACCTCATGTTTAACAACAGAAACAATGTGATACTTGTACATTCTGCTTTTTTTGTACTTGAAAAGGTGCATTTCTTTAAAGTTAATGTATTCAAAAGAGCCAAAAGTGGCAGCCTCCGGTCTGCAGTGATGCAGCAGCTTATCAGCACGGCAGTGAGTGGCAGAAATAGAAATGTAAAATACACAAGCCACTGCTGGAAGCCACATCAGCATTCCCAACCACCCGGGCAAACAAGCACACCCTCCTGACAGACAGTCCTCCAGTCCCCATGTGGAAGCAGTTAACCTTTACTGGAGCCGGAGCCACATGCCTGGTAGCATATTTCCGCCGTCTGACTTTATGTTTCTCCCTATTCTAAACATACAAAGCCTTTCCATGGATCTGTTTTATGTGTCGTAGCAATGCCAGAATGTTTTTCAGAAACAGCCAGGGCCCATTAGAGTAGAAGCAAAAGACAAAAGCTCAGTAATGTTTGGATACAAGAGGAAATCTTTGATTATTATAAGAGTTTTAAAGTGTTTTCTGTGTCACATTTCAGCTATGACTCATAATTTTCACCAGAAGGCCTACCAGACAAAATGCCAGCCATTTTCAAAATGTCAGCCAAGAAGTTAGGCCACAGATTATTTGTTGATAATAGTAATAATGACTTAACACTCACCATTCTGCTGCTTTGATTGTCCTTTTTGGAGGGGAAACTTCAAACTTGTAGGTTCTCACAGTGCACCTATAATGAGATCTCTGTGAGTGAAGTTCCATCAACGTGCGACACACACAGTTTTATAGCTACTACAGGGGGCGGGGGAGAGGAGGTGGAGCCATTAAGGCTGCAACTTTTCAAAGAGGACAGAAGACTTCCTGTTTGGCCTTTCAGAACAAAAGGAGCGCATACAGCACCAATGAGATAATCACCGCTGCATAACAGTTTAGTTCCAGTGGTTGAAAGTGAATAAGTACATTATTATACATTTATAATATTTGTATTTTTACAATGTTTTTTTGTGTGTGTATTTCTGTTTGCCTAGGCTTTGACTCTTGAGGAAGTATTTTTAAGTTAATTCTCAAATGCTTTTTTCAGGGTCAAGAAAAAAAAAGAAACCTCGGGGGACACTCTTTTGGTTTGAGCTTATACTAGAATTATTGTTTGTTAAAATTCTGTTTCTCTTTATGCAACTCGACTGTTTAATTTATGACGTTTTCATTACAGCAGTGATTCATTTATTGAAGATTATCTGAAATTGTAATGTAGGTTACAGCCACTAGATGGCGTCCTTATTATTTTGATTTTGTCTCCAACATTCAACCTCCACTTTTTATGCTGTACGCAGTCAATACTCACTGTGTTAAAAAGGTAGGGGGCCCCATCCTCCTGAATTCCAGGGATTGGTTATTGTCATATTGTCAAGGCTGAATTGTGGGTAATCCAGACCCCCAGGCACACCTAAATCCCCAAATTCACTATCAGTTGGTGATTTAATGAATTGCAAATTTCATAAGAGAATTTACATCATTAAGCCAACACGGAAATGCCAAAAATGACAGTTCTTCCTATGGCCACTTGAGGCTGGCTCCAAAAACAAACTTTCCCATAGACTCATGTTAAAATATCAAATTTTACAGCAGAAATAAACATGTTTACAGCATGGTATGAAAAAAAAGCTTTTGGTCTGTAACTAATTTCGTCCCCCATGACAACCCTACAGGGGCTGAATTTTTATATAACTCACCTGTTTACATTTATGCAAAACTGAGCACGTGGCCGCTTTGAGTGACAGATGGGGGCTGTCACAGTCACGTTTAATGATTTGAGGTGATTTCTGCTCTGTGTCCAAAACCTCTATTTTGACGTCCACGTCAGACGTCAAATTTGTACATCTAAAGACGACAGAAAATGTCTTAACACCAAATTGACGCGTAAAGACGTTACTTTCTGTGTCTTTAGACTTAAAAATTTGAGGTCCTAAGGCGGACATCAAAATACACGTTTTGGACCAATCCGCGTGCCTTACGTCATATCAAGTCACTTGAAGTGACCTGTTGGCCATGTTTGTGGTATTCCTTTTAAAAGGTTTCTCATGCAAATATCGGGCAAATAATGTGGCTTGTTGTGTGGGTAACTGACACAGAACTTCTGTGCTCGTGTATTTTGAGGTGAGTGAAATTCTATTATTATTTTATTCATATGTTATCACTAATTAGCAGTCTGTGGTAACATGCAAAACATGCAGCAGGCTTGTCAGCTTAGCCGTTAACTAGCTAATTAGCCAGCAATTTAATTAGCCCAAACGCTCAGCTGTATTGATGATGTGAATGGGACCCTATGCTTATCACACTTATTAAACCAAGTCTTAGCTCCATACACATCCCATCTCTTTGCCCATTTTTGGATTAGCAGGGAGATAAGTGGAATGGGCACTACTAAAATGGTGATGGTGGAGCAGCCCACAAACTGCTATTCAGAAGCCTGTGGGTGACGTCACGGAGTCTGCGTCCATTTATATTTAAATACAGATTGGTATTAATTGAGGTATAATGATCATATGTTTTGGACCTTCATTTATTGTCAGAATCTAGTTTAAGACCTTTGTTAGTTAATTCAACCAAGTTCATCATCAAATAAAACTTTTTTTTATAAAGGAGCAGGCCACAGTTTTTTTCTTTTCTATGTATATGGTTCAGAATCATAGATGTGTCTTTTCAATATGAACAACTTACAATACTGATTTGATAAATATTTATCTGATTGACATGTTTTCTGACTGATTTTCTGATTTGCGATTTTAGTGAAACGAGGTCTTGCACAAGATGTCTTATCCAGCTGCTATCAAGGTTTGTACTTTGATTTATTTTCACACTGGGAATGAAAATAGCTCAATTCAGTTATTTTTCTTTACCTCTTTTATTGTTGTTGTTTCAGCAAAATATCTATATAGATTAGCTGCTTATGTACTTCTGATCCTGGAAAACAGGCTAAATGTATGCAACCTACAACCAACTTATATTAGAATCTTTATTGTACCATTGAACATAAAATTATAATGTGGTGAGTTACATCCAGTATGTAAGGTGTCATTTCACTGGGTACAAGGGAAGAAAAGTCCTCAAATTCCATTTTCACCTCACAAATGTTTTCCCATATACTGTCCACTCGTGCCACACTGTTTGTGAACTTTACCTGTCCATCATTCTTTACGGGAATGCAGACCTGATCCAGAAGCCTTCAGATGCCTGAGCTCATCGCACCAGGCCCTCAACTCTGAATGTAAACCGCCTTCATAATCCTCAAACAAACCCTTGAGTCCACGGGAGCCTATAGCTTCATCCCCTGAACTGCTCATTCCTCTTCAAACACTCCCCTAAGCATCTTTTTTTGGAAAGGAGAGATAGTTTTGCGATAGACGGATAATAGAGATCTTTTTCAAGTGTTGTGTTTCGTCCTCCTCCCCTCGGAGGTCCACAGATTACTTTTCTTTTACACCTTCCTCAGTGGTGAGACTGTAAACTATTTCTTTCCTTCACTTATCCTGACTGTTTTGCAGCTTTTCTTGCCTGGAAATATATATACAAATGTTGGTCTTGTACAGTATGTTCTAACTGTATTCATGTGTGAGATGGACTTCCATTCAAAAAGTGGAGCGTAGTAGTGGAATATTTATCTCTAATTTATGGACGCAACATTATGCAGCATATTGTTTAAATTCAGCCAATCAAGTGTCAACACTGAAAGTGCATAGTAAATGAAATCACTGGTGTAACGCTCATGTATCAACATGAATATTCATAGAGAAAAATCCTATAGGAACTCTGCAGCCAGGAGGACTGGTACCTTCCACCTTCAAACAATCTTCCACAGAACGGTTGTTTAAAAAACATCTGAATATACAGCATATTGCTTCACAGAGTAGTGTTTTTTTAATTGATTTTTATCATTTTATCATATAATATTTATCATATCATGTGTAGCTCTTGCACTTTTTACGCAAATCTCTCAGGAACTTGCTAATTTGTTCTTATGGATGGTTTTGTCTGTATTGTTGTGCACATAAAACATGAATCTCTCGCAGTTTTAGCGTTGTTCCACATTGTAACATTTAGACATGTTTGTAACTTTTGAAATATCTGCATTAGTCCGTGATGTAAAAATGTTAAAGTAGCAGAAGTGAACTCATTTCCAATATGTGTTTGGCTTCAGGGAGGGGCTGTGGGCATAGGAAGTAGCAGGGTTTATAGGTTGTAATTTTTAATATGAAAATCACAGGTGTAGTCTGTACTCTTAATGATTGCTGCATTCTGATTGCAGCTGGTGTTTCCTGCTGCTACTGTGCATGGATACTGGGATGGAAAAAAGCCAAGGAGCTGATGTCAGATGGAGACTAAAAGTTGCCTCAAGTAAGACTCCTACTTCCCTTCCATGGTAGTTGCCATAACACATTTACATTTTTTTTCTACATCTGGTTTCTCAATACTGAGTTCACTTTTTCAAAACAGCAGTCAGCCTGGACTAAACTGGCTTTCAAAAACTTGTCTCACTTAAACTCGCCATCAAACTTCATTGTATTTTGAGACCATTTAACATGTTTACATACAATTATAAAAAAAAAAACTGTTCAAAACCTAACCTAACACAAAATTGAACTGATACCTTTTATGTTCTGCAACATGTATGCACACAGTTGGGAATTCTTTTCTTCTTGGAGGTAGAAAGTTTACAATCAGACATCTGGACACACCTGCAGAGGATGGATCAGTGCAAAAGGTGTGGTGAACCTGAGGCCAATTGTAGGATCGACTAGTGCTGTTGTATTTTTGTATCTTTAGCTGTAGTTTGTGTTGCAAAAAGGATATTGCAGCATTTGTGATTCATTTCTGTGACCTATACAACTCCAAGGTTGCACATTGGTGATTCTTATTGTAATGATAGCTGTTGTTAGTGTTGTTGTTTTTCTCAGTTTGTAATGAATGACATGGTTTCCTTGTTGGGAGACAAATGTTGTGTGTTTTGTGTTTTGGGAGAAGTGAGTTCAGTATAGAGAAATGCGTGTTACCAATTTTACCTGAAGAGAAAAGGAGACTGAAGCTCAAGAAAATATGAAGTTGTGAGCAGCAGCAACGCCGTGATGTGTGTCTGTCAGAAGAAAGGGGGAGTCCTCGATAATGCAGGTCACAGGTTTCTCTGGACGTTGTTGCAGGAGTTTTGTGTTGTACATACAGATGAAGAAATTAGTCACTCCACCGCACACACACACACACACATTGACCTGTGATGCCCCCTTTGCAATAAACCAAATTAGTCTAGAAGCCAAGAAACTAATGTTTGATCTGTCTGAAAACCACACATAGTTGAACACAGCATGCATACACATACACACACACATATATGCACACACATGCTCACAATCTATATCTCTTAGTATGTTCAGTATTGGTATGATTGATCCACATTACTATTCAGGAAACAGGAGAAAGAAAGATGTTTGGACCTGATTGTGATGTGAAAAGAGAGAGTAGATGTAGTAAGAGCATAACTCTTCTCCTCTGGAATAATACACATAATTTAACCCTAAATCTGAACAAGACTCTTGGTTAAATCAGCTGATTGAGCGTACATGTGAAAAAAAACTTTATGCTAAACTAGATTAAATCTGCCCTCCCCTCCACCAGATTCCTGTTAATAAATTAGCTCCGAACTGTGGGACGTTTCAGGTGCTTGCTGTACCTCCTGGGATCCTCTGTGTGTATTCTGTTCTCTGTCTCTGGGCTGAAATAATCCAATCCA